CACCCGTGAATTTTCCCTGTTCTTTTCTCCTTAATTTCAACCTTGTATATATACATAACGAACCCATTTCCAAAAGCAGTATAATCATTAATCACCAAACTTAGTCATGAAAAGATATGCAACAAGACTTTCCTCTTTTCTCATTTCCTTTTTACTTTATCCCCTCTCCTTTAATGTCGGAATATCCGACGCCATGGACACGATAAGCACGAGCCAGTTCATTAAGGACAGCGACGTGCTCGTCTCCTCCGGGCAGACTTTCGAGCTCGGGTTTTTCAGCCCGGGCAGCTCCACCAACCGATACTTAGGCATATGGTACCGTAACATAACCGTCAGGACTCCCGTTTGGGTCGCCAACCGAGACTCCCCTGTACGAAACACAACTTCAGGGGTCCTCACGGTCAACCCGTCCGGTCAACTACTCATCCTCGACGAAAGCAATAATAACAACACGATATGGTCGTCAAACACATCGCGAACCGCTCGAAATCCAGTCGTCCAGCTGTTGGACTCGGGTAATCTCGTCGTACAAGAAGCAAACAACAACCAAACAGAGAATTACTTGTGGCAAAGCTTCGACCACCCGACCGACACATTGTTGCCAGGCATGAGCATCACAGCCGGGCGCCAGCTGTCATCTTGGAGAACGAACGAGGACCCGGCGCCAGGTGTCTTCACGTTCGGGTTCGACTCGTCCGGTTACCCCCAGGTGGTCATCGCCGGGGGTGGGGCCATACTTTACAGGCTCGGGCCATGGAACGGGATCCAGTTCAGCCCGAGGCAGAGGCCCGTTTTCGAGCCCGGCCCATTTACGTCCGTGTACTACAGTGAAGAAGGGGGTGATGAGTCGGTGGTGGCCCGGTTCACGCTGAGCCCAATCGGCGTGGGCCAGCGGTGGACGTGGGTCCGCGGGCAGAGCCAAGAGTGGGTTTTCTCGTACACTTTCCCGGCGGACGTGTGCGACACTTACAGGCAGTGTGGGCCCCACGGGTGGTGCGACCCGGGGAGGAATCCGGTGTGCGCGTGCCTAGAGAAGTTTGTGCCGAGGGTGGAGGGGGGTTGGAGCAGGTCCGACTGGTCGGCCGGGTGCGTGCGGAGGAGAGCTTTGAACTGCAGGGACGATGTGTTTTTGAGGTACTCGGGGATTAAGTTGCCGTACTCTCGTGACACGTGGTACAACGGGAGTTTGGGGGTGGAGGAGTGTATGGCGGTTTGTGAGAGGAACTGCTCTTGCATGGCGTACTCGAATATGATGAGGAATGGGAGGAGTGGGTGCATGGTGTGGTTCGGGGACTTGGTGGATGTGAGGCGGATAGCTGGGGCGAAGCAGGTGATTTATATCCGAATGGCGGCTTCTGAGCTAGGTGAAGTCGATTTCTACTTGATTTAATGTTTAATTGGGATTTTACTAGGTTTTTTCCTATCTTGAAACCAGTTCATGGCCAAATGACACAGAATCGAATGGGATTAAACGAAGAACAATTATGGCTGCTTTGACATCATTGTCAGGGATTGGTCTGCTATGCCTGTGCCTAGCATTGTTTGTTTGGAAGAGAAAGAAGAAGACTCGAAAGCTGAGAAAAGAAGGTAAGGTGACTTTAGGCATTTTTGGTGATTGTGTGTGTGGTTTTAAACGATAGAATTGTTTTGATCGTCAATGGTTGTCATGTTGCAGGAGGGCTTGAAGAAAGTACTGAGAAGGAGTTTGAGCTACCTATATATGATTTATCGATCGTAGCTAAATCTACTGATGATTTCTCAAACAGCAACAAGCTTGGAGAAGGTGGATTTGGACCTGTTTACAAGGTGAACTAGGCAAACATCACTGTTGAGTTATTCTTGTTAGTAGCATGATATGCCATGAAATGTTGTTGTTTTTAAATATTCTTAGGGAAAGCTGGAAAATGGCATGGAAATAGCTGTTAAACGCCTCTCGGAAACTTCCTCACAAGGACTCGATGAGTTCAAGAATGAAGTTATATGTATCGCCAAGCTTCAGCACCGGAATCTGGTGAAGCTTTTAGGATGCTGCATTCAAGGAGAGGAAAAAATGTTGCTTTATGAGTACATGCCCAACAAAAGTCTCGATTTAATTCTATTTGGTGAGAATCTCCTAAGCACGTGTACGGTTGAGATTGATTTGTTGCAGAACAGATTATATAACTCAATCTCCATACTTAGAACCAAATTAGATGAGGAGTTATACTAACCGTACTTTTGAACTTCCGCAGATAAAACCAAAAAGCAGCTTCTTGATTGGCCTAAGCGATTCGACATTATCAATGGTATTTCCAAGGGACTTTTGTACCTTCATCAAGATTCCCACCTAAGAATTATTCATAGGGACCTCAAAGCTAGTAATGTGTTGCTGGATAACGAATTGAACCCGAAAATATCAGACTTCGGCATGGCTAGAATTTTCGGAGGGAACGAGACAGAAGCCAAAACGAAACGGGTAGTTGGGACATAGTAAGAACCTCTAATTTCACTTCTCGTATAAGCAAATTAAATTTCTCTCTCCTTCGAGTTGTTAGTTGCTCTTTATCATTGGAGCTAATGCAACTCTGTGGGTATCAACCATCATGCAGCGGTTATATGTCACCAGAATATGCTGGCGATGGTTTGTTCTCGTTAAAATCGGATGTATACAGCTTCGGTGTTTTAGTGCTGGAAATCGTGACTGGCCAGAGAAACAGAGGGTTTCAACACAAGGATCATCATCACAACCTTCTTGGACATGTGAATTTTTTTTTTTTTTTTTCAACCTGATATTTAACAAAATTGAGAAAATCACTGTTCTTTCAAAATCACTTTAATTTGAAATATATATTACCTTTGTTTTCAGGCATGGATGCTGTATAAAGAAGGAAGGCCCCTGGAACTCATCGATCACGACATTCTCAGCACAGTTTCCTTAAACGAACTGCTCAAATCAATCCATGTGGCTTTATTGTGCGTCCAACACTGTCCGCAAGATAGGCCATGCATGTCGTCTGTGGTTTTGATGTTGGGCAGTTCAGGTGTTTTGCCAGAAGCCAGACAACCTGGTTTTTTCACAGAAAGACGTGGTTTTTTTTCCGAGGGGTCAACCAGCACGAATGCAATGGGGCCATCGAATGAATACACAATTACACTATTAGAACCTCGATAAAATCAGATCATGCAGAAGTGTACATACTTTTGGCTACAAACAAGCTTGATATTTTGTTTTCGCTATTAAATGGTAGATTTATCCTGTACAGCGTTGCTTGTAAAATGTTGTTAAATTTTACATTTCATTGTACCGTATAAAACTGATGGTTTTTCTTGTGCAATAGACCTGCCCGCTACCGAGCCCTTTTCCCCTGTTACACTAAACAAAGTTTTAAAATGCAATTCATGAAAGTATCGGTTAGAAACTGATGTGTGTACGTATAAAGTGGTTAGTAATGTTTCTGAATGTACTTACTAAGTTTCCACTACTCGGCTCATCTTTTCTCCAGTCTCATTTTCTCGAAATTATATAGCAATGCTGAGGTCTGATACCCTTGGGTTCAATTCACTATCGAACAATTATAAAATTATTGCTTTTAGGAAGCAAAAACACATCCAGGAGACTCAGACTGGAACGCAGACAATAGTTAATTAACCAACAACCATTTGCAATAAAGTTCTGTCCGTGCTCGCAAGTCCACAACTAATAAATTGAATAAAGAGCTAAACATAAGGTGTGCACGAATGAGCTTCAGCAAGGTTTTCGCTTACATTTCTTTCTGATCAGCTCATTAATCAAAATAATTCTTATACAACAGATAATACTTACATTTGTTGCAGGAACACACAATTTTGACAGCCATTTGGGTAACCAACAGAGAATTCAACTCGATAGTGCATCAGGTCCGAAATATTTTTTGAACCTTCTGGGTGGCACTAGTGACATTACAAGGTCATCCAATACATCGAAAATCAGAAAAAGATATTGATCGCACGACAGCCATTCGGGTTGCACACAGAGAATTCAACTCGATAGTGCATCAAGTTTGGAATATTTTTTAAACTTCTCGGTGGCCCAGTGACGTTACAAGGTCATCCAGTATATCAAAATCAGAAAAAGATATTGGTTTGCACGACTATCTTCCTTCAACCATAGTAATGGTAACCTCATTAATTGAGCCTAATGCACTCATGTTTGTGGAACTTTGAGCAGCACGAACATCTCTTTCCGTGAAAAAACCGGGCTGCTTGGCCCGAGGCCTGGACATCATTACCCAGCATGAAAACGACTGAGGACATGCTTGGCCTGTCCTCTGGACATTTTTGGACGCACAAAAGACCAACATGTATCGACCTCAAGACTTGAGATTTCTCGAACGAGTCACCTAGACAAGTATCCACTAGTTCCAATTCGTTCTCTTCATTGTAAAGTGTCCATGCCTAAGGATTTACTTGACCCGGTTAAATGGGCTAGAGTATTTAGTGATTACTATTATTATTATTATTATTATTATTATTATTATAGAGAACTAGAGATATGTTCTCCCGAGCATCAAATATAATGCTTACATGTCCAAGAAGGTTGAGACTGTGATTGCTGCTGAAGAAGCCTCTGTTCCTCTTCCCACTCACGACCTCTAGCACGAGAACACCAAAGCTAAATACATCCGATTTGACCGAGAACAGTCCATCTACGGCGTATTCTGGAGACATGTATCCACTACCATGGAATATCAAAACAACAGAAACTTAAGAAGCAACATATCTGAGGACATTATACATGAATTTGTGTTTCGATGTTCTTACTATGTTCCAACAACTCTGCGGGTGTGGGCTTCAGTCTCATTTCCTCCGAAACTCCGGGCAAGGCCAAAGTCTGATATCTTCGGGTTCATGTCTGAATCTAGCAATATGTTGCTAGCTTTGAGGTCTCGGTGGATTATTCTCAATCGGGAATCCTGATGAAGGTACAAGAGTCGTTTTGCGATCCCATTGATGATATTGTGACGTTTACGCCAATCGAGTAGCATACTTTTTGTTTGATCTGACAAAAATTGGAACTGTATCATATGTAATATGTATATCGCATTATCTTTTCTTTTTGTCGCTATAATAGTAGTACGAGTACTCACCGAATAAAAACATGTCAAGGCTATTATTAGGCATATATTCATAGATTAACATATTCTCGTCCCCTTGAATGCAACATCCTAGAAGCCTCACCAAATTCCGATGCTGAAGCTTGGCAATCAAGATCACTTCATTCTTCAACTCATCGACTCCTTGTGCAGAGGATTTTGACAAACGTTTGACAGCAATTTCCTCTCCATTTTCCAGCTTGCCCTAACAACAAAGCTTGCAAATGTGAACGGTAATAGCTGATTACTGCACCTGATCGTAAATTTAACGATCTATTTTCCTATAACCATTAGATATTTTATTCAAGAGGTTTCCAACTATAATATTTGGCAATTCAATTCATTTTACCGTCATGTGAAGTAGATGCTTATCATTATATCAAATTTTAACAATTTACCTTGTAAACTGGTCCAAATCCACCCTGTCCAAGCTTGTGATTGATTGAAAAATGGTCAGTAGCTCTGAGAATTACAGATAATTTGAAAAAGGGCAATTCTGAGTCTTTGCCGTGGCTTCGGTTGAACAGTGCTTCTGCATCATTGGAAATGCAACAGAGGAACAAGAACTTAATCATACTTCATTTGCTAATTTTCCGTATTTTCTGCATAACTACACACACATTTGTTTCATACCTTCTCTTCTCATATTCATGTTCTTCCTCCTCTTGTAAATACATAGAAAGAGGCTCAGGCACACGAGAACCACTCCCACCACCGAAGCCGAGCTTGCAATAGCCATTACATGCTTCTTCCGATGTTTAGGTCCTGCCACAATTTATTTATGTACAAAACAGCATACAATGAACTGTCATGTAACTGTATTTCAAATTATCAATCAATCTAACATACCAAAACTTTACCTAACTCAGATGAAGCAACTCGTATGTAAAGATCCTGTCCGCCTTCAGCAAAGTATCTTATATCCAACAAGTCCCCATGGTAAAGCAAGCATCCACTACCGCCTTCCCTTATATCCAGCCGCGTATAAGCCACACATGAACAATTCCTCAAGCACCTTGCCCTGCACTCCTCAAGCACAATAATCTCGCTGTTAAACCACGAATGATTTGGGTCCGGCAACTTAATCCCCGTCAAATTAAAAAACTCATCCCCCTCACAGTTCAAAGCCGTTCTCCGCAGGCACCCGCCAGACCAGTCCTCCCGTCCCCATTCGCCCTCATCTCTCGGCACGAAATTATCCAAACACGTGCAAAACGGAGAACTCTGCACGCTGCAAATCCCATACGCACCACAAAAGTTATAAAGATCACAATTCTTCATCGGCTCATAGAATAAAACGTTCCAACTTCGTGTTGTGGGGTACCACAAGAGCAACTGTGCCAAACCACTCTGATTCATAGTCACCCTCACCATAGTCGAGGGGTCGACATGTTCGTAATAATAAAACACCGAGGTCTGATTAACAGTTAATCCGAATGTAAAATTACGATTCGGGTTCATGTATGGCATCCCACTAAAACCTAGGCCATTCCATTGCCCCGACCTGTACATTTTGTAGGATCCACTCCACAAAATGTTCTGTGGATAACCAGTGGGGTCACAGTGGTACGAGTAGCTTCCAGGCGATGGGTCGTTTTCTGTCCTCCATGACGACAGGTATACCTCCCGATTGCTCGTCAGGTTACGGCCGAGCATCATCCCCGGTAGGAAAGTGTCAGTCGGGAAATCGAAACTCTGCCAGTGGCGGACAACATTGTTATCTGCATCTCGGATGATGAGGTTACCTGAGTCGAGCAGATGGGCGACGGGTGCCCTGTCAGCGGTGGTTGATGTGCGGTTGGTTGACCAGATGACGTCACCGGTCGCGTTGACGAGGACCAGATTTCCCGACTCAGTGAGTCTCAGGAGCACGGTACTGTGCGGCGTATCTGGGAATGGAGCTGCCCGGTTGGCGACCCACAGGACGGTTGGTGGAGATATCGTGTACCATATGCCCAGGTAACGACGGCCGGTGGAGTTTTGTGGGCTGAAAAATCCCAGCGTGAAAGTCCCATCGGAGGAGACCAGTGTGCCGCCGTCTGCAATAGTTTGATTAATACCTAAAGTGTCAATTGCGCTGGTAAGTAATAATGAGGCTATGACGTGAAGGAAAACAATGTGGTGTGAGATGAATGTTGTTCCCATTTTCAAGGTTCTTGAAAATTTTGAATCTCAGAAACTGCAATGAGATGTTGTTGACAATGGCTGTCTAGAGAAAATAATGTAGACTCAGTGCGGTGTGAATGCGACTTGGGTTACTGATAAATTATTCTGGCAACCAGAAGCTTTTGAAGATGGAGAGTAGACTGAGTAGTTGGGCCGGGGCATGGTCGGTTTATGGCGTGTTTGGTTGGATCGGAAAAAAGAGAAGAAAAAGGTGACCTCATGGCTGGCTGCCCTTAGTTGACTTAATTGTTTGACCACGTTGAAATTGGTCGTTGATTGAAAGTGTGGGTTAAATTGAGCATCAAACGATGGGCGGCATGGTGGAATCTTGAAGGGTATAAAGGAGCTTTTAGATCGTTGGGCAGTCGAGATTAATCATGACTATCGCTGAGGCCAATTTTGTGACAGGTTTACTTGGTTTCTTTGGCATCATAGGACCCGGATGTTCTACAAAGATTGGAGAACCCTCTTCCGAAAGCTAGTGTTTGGTTACACCACGATAGAGTTGGTGTCTCCTACCCTCGTTTAGTTCTAAATTAGGCTCTACGTAGCCTCCTTTCCTTGTACCAAAAAAAAAAAAAAAAAAAAAAAAAAAAAAATGAGCATAAATTTAACAATCATACCAACTGTCACCTTAGCAGCTAGGTGATTGTCGTGTAATGACATGTAGAAATCCGATTTTTGAGGATGAGATGAGTATTCTGGCTCCTCATGACAAGACTGGTTGGACTGTGGTTTTACTGACTTGGACGGTTTTATTGTTCAGTATGTCAGAGAGCAATCATATTCGGTAATGAGATCGACAAGTAGAACTTCCGAGGGATCCACAGTGATTCTTGTCACAGGGGGTCAACAAAAAACATGGCATACTTCATGGGCCAGATCACTTCTCGAGCCATGGTCTTCCTTTTTTGTAGGTGGACTTTGACTTTTGGAACACGCATACAACAACAACATCATAGAAAAATGGAAATATGATAAACTATTAGAAATATACTATCATAAAATATAAAAGCTAAATTTATTAAAATTACAATAAAATTTATTTTAATGGAAAAATTGAACTAAAATAAGGAAATAAATATAAAGAAATTAATTTTTTTTATTTTTACAATTAAAAAATATTAATTAAATATTTAAACAGTTAAAATTTTAAAACGTTTAATTTAATTAATAAATAAATTATAAATTTTCGTTCATTTAAATATAAATTTTTATTTTTATTAAAATAGTTTTAAATGTTACAAAATTTATTTAAAAATCTTACAGTTCCTACCAGTCCGTCTAGCTGGTGTTTATCGATTCGCTAGCAAACATTTTATTCAAGCAAACTAGACCGGTCGATAAAGCGATTCCTAGTCCATTCTGTCAGACTTTTCGGTCCAGTTTGATTTTGAAAACAATTTGTATATCATGATTGATATTGTTTATATATTTAATTCATAATACAATTGTAATATTGTTTTCTCGTGCATTGCACGGGCCACGTACTAGTATATATATATATATATATATAGAGAGAGAGAGAGAGAGAGAGAGAGATTTATTCTCTCCAATGTCATTTTAAATGTACTTAAACTAGAATTTTATAAACAATTTTAAAAAAATTTACATATTACTGATATTTGTGATTTACATATATACACTTTTGTGTTACTTCTTGCTAACTATGTCGCGAATAGTGGGTCGTGCCGCGGATTCTCAACCCGACCCTACGGGTTGACGATTCATAAAATTGAGAATCGGGATGGGCATAGGGATATGAAGATTTCAATTCCGATTTTGATTCGAACTGATCGATTCCATATTGACCTAGTAGGTCCAATAGTTTTTTTGTTGGCAAGTTCTTTGTCGAGCCCGTCGATCAACAAAGTCACAAGAATCTTGACTATTAATCTTACAATGAATACAAGATTCAACTGTTGAGATCAAACTGTAATCAGGCCCAACTCATCAATTCTAAATTGAATTCGGAACTGCATTAAAATTTAAATTTTGGATTTTTGAAATTCAAAATTTCCAATGTCAAACCCAATGGGTCGGGCTAATTCCGAGTTGAACCCGGATCTCCTAGTCAAAATGTTTTGAGGAATTTACATCACATACAATCCTATAATATTTATATTACACATTTAACACCAATTAATATGTATTTTGAAATTTGCAACTTCAACACTAAAATATTGCACATATACCATTTTTTAATGATTGAAGTCAATCTGTCAAATTATGGAATGTTTTAATTAATGATTTTCTCCTTAGTTATTGGAATAAAACCGCCAACGAGATCTCCAAAATCGAACAATATCATCCCAAAAAATCCCTCATTATCTTTCTGCAAAATCGCACCGCCAAGATGGACTTTCACGTGGGCCCGGAGCTTCTGAGGTCTCTTTGAGAAAAAAACGGGATTCTTGATGGATCGAGTGGCGGTGGAGTATCCGAGATGGTATTTGCGGATCTGTTCAAGATGACTGTCGAATCCATGTGGTTGAAAAAAGCAGGAATGCCGAGAATGAGGGTTGAAAATTTCCCAAATGCATATTATCCACTCTTTCAGCCCAACTAATCCTATTTACCCTTTTTGAAAAAATTGCGATGAGGTTGGGGGCTTCTGGACAAATCATGTGCATTTTTCTTTTTTTTGGACTGTGCATTTTTTTTGTGTGAAGAAATTGTGAAATTTTTGGACTGTGCATTTTTTTTTTTCAGTCGGCGCTTTCCCCTTTTCCTGTCTTGTGGTGGGTCTGGACGGATAGGTCCTTCGGCGGGGGCGGCCCTTGGTCCCGGCAGGGGTGCTTGATACGTTTGCGCCAGTCCAAGCACAACAAGAAACATGTTATTAATTTTTCATCCCTCATATATTATCGGTCCCCCTGTAATTGGAACTTTGAAGTTTTGTATGGTTTATATTTAGTATATTTTCAGTATATCCCCTCATATTGTATCGTGTTGGTATCGTTCCCCCTGTTATATGTATGGTTTATATTCAGTATATTTTTGGTATATGTATGGTTTACATTTTGTAAAATCATGGAAAACATATACAATACATATACCATCATTACGGTTTGTATTGTAAGTATATATACCGACATTATATATACCATGATTATGACCTTGCTGGCACAACGTAAACACCTTGAACAACTAATCCGATTACTTAGGAAATTTCGAAGCTTTGTTAATAAGAAAGGAATCGTCAAATCAAGTATAGGATCTCTATTACTCTTAATTGTCGATCTGGGTACCCCCTCTCTTTCTGAGTCTCCCTCTCGCATCGGTTCTGCATCAGATGATGAGCTCTACTAGAAAGAAAATCTCTTCTATGAATATTCATAGATGAAGTGCTATCTAAGGGGCGGAGAAGCCCAGCCCTTGAATTCCGTTCCGTAGTTCAATCTGGAACTCCAGATGTGTAAGTAGCGACCAAATTTTACTATAATCATTGAAATGTATACAACATATACACCAACATTTTTTGATGGTATATTTTATGTATATATATTAAACATATAGTGAACATATACTAACATAAACGCAACATATACCCACCCTGAACAGTTGCGTGAATTATAATACATGTTTTTTTTTTTGGTATTTGTAATGGAATATACACGAACAATTAAGGGTGGAGCGTTTTATTTGTATGGTATTCAGAGTTTATAGTTAGTATATTTTCAGTATATTTTCGGTATATTCTCAAAAAGAGTAATATTTTAAAAAAAAACGATATATATATATATATCATTAAAAACAATTAAAATAAACTATACATATACCATTAAAATACTGAATATATACCATTAAAAAACTGAAAAACCCATTTAATGAATTATAAAAGATAAAACAAAAAATATAAAATAAAATAAATGAACCCATTTTTTTTTTTTTTTGAGGTTGAAATGGATATAGTAACTGCCGTTTAGGTATTAATGTAGTTAAATATGGTGTTTTACAACGGAAATCAAGGGATTGAGATTGTAATGGATATGGTAACTCTTTTTAGGCATTAGTGTAGTTAAATGTGGTCTTTTAAGTAAATACATAATTAATTATATTTACATGGTAGAGTTGTAAATATTTATAAATCACGTAGCAGATATGAAAATTGCCTCGGCCAAAAACGTTTGGTCAATGGGCCCAGGTTGGCTGGCCAACGGACCTGGCCCGTTGGATCATTAGGCCTCCCCGGCCCGGGTGGCCATGTCGTCGTAACTCATAGCCTATATCTTTGGTGGGACCATGAAACGGAGTGGGTACTTTTATGATTTTATCATAACTTATAAATTACATCGAAGAATACTCAAATGACATTGGCCAGTTGGTACACCTACACCATACTGAATAATTGCCATCCTCGACGGCTCGACCAGAGTTGGTATATTCAAATCCTTCTTTCAAAAAATGCTCTCAAAATTCCGATTCTTGCAAATTTCAGCATCCTTTTCCTCTCCCAAGCACAAGGCTTTCGTTCCACACCAATTCACATTCAGCGCAAAGCTCCGATCGCAGATGGGGTATACGACGTCGTCCGGTTCCTCACCGTCCAAGTTGCTTTTCCGACAGCTTTTTGAGAAGGACTCGTCTACCTACACTTACCTTCTGGCCGATGCTTCTCACCCTGATAAACCTGCTCTGGTTCAATCTGTCTCCTCTTCTCAGACTTGTTTCTTCCTGTTGTTTAATTTGAATTTTCGGGATAATTGGATGATTTTGAAGTTGTGTTTAGAGTCCCCTGCATTGGTTATGTGTGCTTGCTTTTAAGGATTCGACGTGGGTGATGGGCTGGTGGGGTTGGTTTAGTTATTGCCTATCAGATTATGTTCAGAACAGTTGAAAATTTTGACCTTTTTGCTAATTGAATTATTTTGTTTAAGGAGTTGTTTTGTGCTAGAATGGAGAATGGATATTGATCTCTTCATCTCTTGCTAAATTGATGTAGTTAGTTCTTTTGATTCTCTATTAGTTGAATGCTGGACCAGTTGACAGTTGATCTGATGATGAAAATCTGTAGGCCTGTTTTTATTTACTCCTTTTCCTTCCCTTCTGAACCTTTTGGCGATGCTTGGTCTATAGACTTCTCTAAGTGAATGCTAAAGGAAATAATTCCCATTTTTCAAATTATATATACGTGGATCCTTCAATTTTTCTTCGTATATTAGCTCTTCCTATGCGGGAAATATATGGTGATTTTAAAATCTGTTTCGGTAAAACTTAATACTTTTAAAATTGAAAGGGTGCATGAGGTATTTGTTTCATCAAGTTATGGAAACTGAATTAGGTACTAGTAAAGGAAGTATGATAATGTTGCATAACATTAATGCACTTTGGATAGTTTAATTCTGATCTGCATTGTTGTTGTAATGAGGATTGTACCTTATATTTATCTTTGATTTTTGAGTTTATGTACTAATGGGACCTTATTCTCCCACAGTTGGTTGATCCAGTAGACAAGACAGTAGACAGAGATCTTTCCTTAGTGAAAGAGTTGGGCTTGAAGCTTATATATGCAATCAATACTCATGTACATGCAGATCACATCACTGGGACTGGATTGCTTAAGGTTCATCCTAACTTTTTCTTTGGGTACAGTGGCTATGTTGTTCTTGTTCTTTCCTTTCCTTTTTCCAATCATTTTCTCCTTCAAATGCCTAAGTAGTGTACGTCTCCTTCATTCTGCCCATGATCCTGTTTTTATGGTTATATCCTGCAGAGTAAGTATCCTGGAGTAAAATCTATCATTTCTAAAGCAAGCAATGCAAGTGCCGATCTTTTCGTTGAACCTGGTGATAGGATCTGTTTCGGGGATCTCTTTCTGGAGGTATATGAATTTGTGTTTAGTGAAGAGACTCTATCTATAACGTGAGGTGAACTAGGGTATGTGTTTGAAGTAGTTGATTGGTTTACTCATGCTAAGAAACTCGTTCTAAATTTTCTGATTACGTACAGTAGAATTTTCGTGATAGATGCCTATGAACTCTGGTAACCACATGCCTTGGTACCCCTAATTTTGTAAAAACATATGCTTGACACACACACACACACACACACACATATATATATTATTTTGCCAAGGCCTCATCTAATTGGCATCACATATTTGTCAATCATTCATCTTCTGTACTTTAGTGACCTAAGCCTGCGTGTTTTCACATCCAGTGTAATGGAAGTAGGCTCCTACTATATTAATGGTTTGTTTTTGAATTTTTTCCGAAAAACAAAAGAAGGCTAGAATGGTGGCGCAGTAAAATGCTTTTTGCTAATATTCTTATTGCCATATCATGCGACATAAACGTGAATGGCGAATGTATAGAGTGTTGAAATCTATTGGCCACATCAGCCTACGTACGTGAGCAACTGTGGCTGTTTGCATTTTGTGTTTTATCGTTAACTGTACTTTATGATGTCTTATCTTACAGTCCCATATTTCATATTTTGAGTTCTTATCTTTTGCAGGTTCGTGCAACCCCAGGTCACACACAAGGTTGTGTTACCTATGTCACAGGTGACGGGCCTAACCAGCCTCAACCACGGATAGCTTTTACTGGCGATACTCTATTGATACGTGGATGTGGGAGGACCGATTTTCAGGTATCGTTGCTCTCACGGAAAAATCAAACCAAGTTTTGATTGCACGTAAAGGACAATTTTGTTCCGAAGGGAAAGAGATAAGAATTACTGTTGAAACTCAACTCTTTCCAACAATATGACACAAGAAAGATAAGGCCACTGGACATTTTTTGAACAGGAACGGTGGAAATTGCAGCAGTAAAAAGTAAATGCTCCGAGCTCAGTGTAATACTTGAGAATAATTAGGCATAATTTGCACAATTCAACGAGTAACATTGCAGGATCATAATCTTTACCTTGATGTGGGTTTTTACATAGTTTGGACAGTAACAATACAGGAAATACAAATAGAAAAAGGACAGCTTCCATTTCTGCATGTTGAAAACATTGGGTTTAAACATGAGCTCTTAAGAACATTGGTGCAATCAGTAAAAAATATATCCTTATCCCACTTCGTCTTTCATCTGGGAAATTACGCAAATGACGAGATATTTTTATGATTTTTGCACTAATTTCTAATTTTTGATATTGAACTTTGGCCAACCTTTCTCAGGGTGGGAGTTCTGAGCAGCTTTACAAGTCAGTTCATACACAGGTAAGACAGCAGATAACATATGCATGTGAATGTCAATTCTTTCACGACATCACTCAATTCTCCTGGAGTATTTGTTGAAAAACAGATCTTTACATTGCCGAAGGACACATTTGTATATCCAGCCCATGACTACAAGGGCTTTTCTGTAAGTATACTCATGAAGTTTGTTGTTTTTCCTTAATTGCATACACAATTGAAGTTGCTTACATTTGTGGGTATTTAGGTGAGTACTGTTGGCGAGGAGATGCTATACAATCCCCGCCTGACAAAAGATGAGGTAAATATCACTGTAACAGAAGTGGTAATATTTGCACACACATGCATGTTATTTTGCTGATTTTATTTTTCAGTAATAAATCATAAAAGTACTAAAATACACACAAGTAACATGTGATAGTATTTATTTAATTAGAAATTCATGTTGTTTAGTAAGGGAACTAATTTTGCTAGGAGCATGTTTGGGCAGCTCCATTGACAATGCCCTTTCGAACACTCGTCTTCCGACAAACAAGCTTCTTTACTAGCCAAAGACCTTCTATGCAAAATTTTACTTTCCTCTTATTCCACGAATCAAATTGTGTTCTCTGTTAATTAACCATGAAGGCTCTCCCAAATGTGTTAAAAGCTAATGCATGGTCTTTTTGCAGGAAACATTCAAAAACATCATGGCAAGTAAGTGACTGTCGTTCAAATACTAAGTTCTTGTAACATCATGCATAGTTGCATATTCCACTAAAGACTGAGTTTAATTTTGAATTTTACAGATCTGAACTTATCATATCCAAAGATGATTGATATAGCTGTGCCTGCTAACATGGTTTGTGGGTTGCATGTTGAACCCAAAGCTGTGTGAAAGTTCGATAGTTTCTGTGAGGTGTGGAGTCAAACTGTTGATTAAACATCATTGTAACTAATTCAAATGACATCAAATGTCAATTCTACCGCTCTGATTGTGTTACCAAGTTTAATTGAAATTTGTAATTGAACGTCTGTTAAACATAACGTGCAATGCAATATCGCCTTATTTAAATTGAATGGACAATCTATATATGAACTCAAGTAATTGTAAAAAGCTGAGTTCTGAGTATTAAGATGATATGTAAAGCAAAGAATTTGAAATAGAAAAGGTTTTACAAAGACTCATCATACACCTAGGCATTTTGCCGCACAGCAATTGCCTTGGTGTTCAACTCTGCTTTTACCGTATGAGTAATCCCTATTACTCGTCAAATTAAATTTTGCATACTTCGATTTCTAGCATGAATCTAAATTTTTGACCTGTAACTCAACATTAATATTCAATTTTGAACAAATCCAGATTCAATCAACTGAATTTCCGAGTTTTTAAATACATACTGGGCAGGTATTTATTTTATTTTATTTATTTATTTATTTTTTTGGTTATCAACCAGAGGACCACAGTTGTAAAGAAAATCATCCTACTATAATTAACAGAATAATGCTACTTACCCAAGTCTCTTTACAAATTCTTTTGACAAAGTGAGCTGTACGGTTTAGATTAAATAGTAATTAAGGGCTAAAATTTAAAACTAAATCCTATCCACTAACTCCTCTTTCTTCAATTAAGGGTTAAGATTTAAAATGAAATCCTCCACTAACTCCTCTTTCTTCCCCGTGTCGGTTAAAGAATTGCACAAACTCCTCTTTCTGCCTTTCCTCATGGCGGCTAAAAGTTTGGAAAACTAACAATCAAGCCATATATTTAATCATTTGTATCACAGATCTTTTGTTTTATTTTTCCTCCCCCGACAATCAATTTTAAACAACAGATCCTTTGTTTTATTTTTCTTAATCCAACAATGGAAGATAATAAGTTTGCCTACAGACAAGAACATTCAAATCGTTATTCAATTGAATAAAACTAACATTCAAATCACGTGAACTCAGAACTTAAAAAACAATGGCGCCCCTTCAATCTTGTTTGTGGGCTGCGAATAGGAAAAAAAAGGAATGAAACGAAAAGCAACTGTAAGAAAATTGTCATCCTTCAGTTTTTCTCTCAAAGAAGCCGGCAGATATGTGGGTAGAAGAGAGATTAGGTTAGGGAAAATGAAAATTGCCATTTGGGGAAAATGAATTGTTTCATTAATTTTTGTTTGTAGATTTTTATTTTTATTTTTTGTTGCCACGTCATTTTTGTAATCCAACTTTGTCATGGACTTAGGTAGTGTAGCGGGACCCTAATTAACCAAGGGAGTATCAATATCTAGCTTCCCCAAGGGCCAAGGCCAACAGTATCTAATATTATCCATTAAACCATGCCACGTGTTTCCTTTCTATTTGACACCAAGATCACAATTTTATCTGATTGCTTAAGCAGTATTGCTGTGCGCCACAATCTCCAAATCCGAAACTCTCAACCAACCCCACAAAATTCCTGGTAGCCCTTTACTACACCTTGTGTTCATTATATCTGTTACTAATTCTCCTTATAGTTTACACTATAGAATCTTTCTGAAAAAAATATTTCCAGCAAGGAAAAATAAACTACAATGGCTACACAAGCATTGGTCTCATCGTCGTCCCTCTGTTCATCCGCAGAGGCCACCAGACAAGTTCTTAGTGGCAGGCCATTACATTCTTCTTCAAGAAGAGTTTCATTTGTTGTCAAAGCTGCTTCTACTCCACCTGTCAAGGTATTTTATTTGAGCCCTTCATTGCTTCCTCATTCTTACTTCACATATTATATTCAGAATCTTGATTGTGATTCTGATAAAGGATAAGGATTTAATTTTAACATTCAGAGGCTTGTGTCTGATGTTTATTTATCACACAGCAAGGTGCAGACAGGCCTTTATGGTTTGCATCCAAGCAGAGTTTATCCTATTTGGATGGAAGGTACTAAAACAATTCACTAACAACTAACGACAACACATTTTCCATGATTAACCAAAAAAAACTCATTTTGAGCGAATTAATTTGTAAACAAGCACGCCCTAAATCTTTTTATTTATTTTTTCAGCCTTCCCGGTGACTACGGATTCGACCCGTTGGGCCTGTCTGACCCGGAAGGCACGGGTGGTTTCATCGAGCCCAAATGGCTGGCCTACGGCGAGATCATAAACGGGCGCTTCGCCATGCTGGGGGCTGCGGGGGCCATCGCCCCCGAGATCCTCGGGAAGGCGGGCCTCATCCCTCCCGAGACAGCCCTCCCGTGGTTCAAGACAGGGGTCATCCCGCCAGCTGGCACCTACAACTACTGGGCCGACTCCTACACATTGTTCGTCCTCGAGATGGCGCTCATGGGCTTTGCCGAGCACAGGAGGTATCAGGACTGGGCCAAGCCCGGCTCAATGGGGAAACAGTACTTCTTGGGCCTTGAAAAGGGCTTGGGTGGCTCGGGTGACCCGGCCTACCCTGGAGGCCCGTTCTTCAACCCGTTGGGTTTTGGAAAGGACGAGAAGTCGATGAAGGAGTTGAAGCTGAAGGAGGTCAAGAATGGGAGGCTGGCCATGCTGGCAGTCTTGGGTTACTTCATACAGGGCCTGGTGACGGGCGTAGGCCCGTTCCAGAACCTATTGGATCATTTGGCCGACCCGGTCAACAACAACTTGTTGACCAGCCTCAAGTTTCACTAAAACCTTGTGTAGTGATAATATTTTGTGACTCAGTCCTATATTGTAATGCATCATATTTGTAATATTCATCACATTGTGCAGAGTGTAATTTCGTTTTTTTTGACGACGAAACCTAGAAATCGACTTTTGCTGGTGCAGTCGCCAAATCTACACATTATGAGTAAAGGTAGTCCATACATTCTAAAACACGGTGAAAATGAAATTTTTGAAAATTTGAAACACATGTTAGAAATGAGAATATGAACAAAAGGATGCTACGAGTAAACGTCGGAATAGCCAATGCGCATGATCTGTTTTTAACTACCTTTTCTCGTCTTAAGATTCCTCGGGTACTTTCTACCACATTAGTACACCATAATTACACACATGAAGCGATTTATAAACTTAAGGAAAGAGTCTTACACATGGTTTTCGGTACTTTCTACTTCTACGGAAAACCACTCACGACAACTCCAGTACAAAAGTCACTAGTTTGACTAGGCCCCACAACACCAACATCCATAGCAAGATCATTCTCGTTCGCCTTGGAGAAGCTCTCCACGTCATCGAAAAAACTCCCGAACATCAAACTTGCATGACGTGATCCAAGGCAATTCAGATAATCATCCATGGATGATGCATTGTCAGCAAGGAGAGGAGGAATAACCGGTTTTTTCTCTCCTCCATCAAGTAACTCGGACCACTCGGGAGCATATGAATTGGTGTCAATCATTTCAAATGCAGGGATTGGTGGAAAGAGTGGCAGCAGAGCAGGACCTGTTGCAAGTTGATTTGTCTCCAATTTTACGGCAGTTGCTGCTGATTTAACTGTCTGTTGATTTAGATTTACAGTCGAAGTTGTTTGTTCCGGTGCCATGTCCTTTACTCCTTGAGGCTTCAAAGCATTGGGATTAATTCACAAGAAAAATTTAGATATGTAGAGGGGATTATTTAAACGTGGTAAAAATTTAGTCTTTCCGTTATTTTAAGACTCCTTAAAAAAAAAAAGTGTTTCACACAATAATCTTACCTGGACTAGTGGATACAGATTTCTATATGTATCAGCACTCTGTGTCTTGATTCTACATTCATGTGAGAATCTGAAGAAATAATGAGAACAGAATACAAGTATACAACTATGCATTATTATGTCAAAGTAAAAGCATAACGATATTTGAGAAAAATACGTGTAAGGCAAAGGGTGAAGCCAAGACTTACCCGTTCCTATCAAACGGAGTTGGGATTGAAGATTCTTGATGATCTTCCCTTGTAATAGGTGGAGATATTTCATCCTTCTTGCAGTCTAAGACCCAAAAATTAGGCAGACGAGTAAAATCGCTGAGAATTGATTTCAAGAGAAAATGAAACTAATGAACCATATTTGGCGGAAATTAATTGAATATGCTTTCGTTGCTGTCACTAATAACTCAAGAAGTTATACGCTCTACATGTATCACATTATCTTTAAAATAATACTAATATGCACGATTGAAGGGAAGGATTGAAATGAATATATAGAGAAACTTAAGAATTATTTTAATTAGGCTTAAGTGCTTCTCATTATTTGCAGCCTTCTCATTACAACACATACAGTATATGGTTGGCACATATTGCTGTCTCCACAATCTTCTTGCTGTCTTGCCAAGCCTGAATTTCTGCTTTCAGTAAGAAAAAATGTGAATTATAGAATTATCAGATGGAAGTTTCTTTCTAAACAGTAAATTTTGATTTATTTAAGTACATGCAACAAGCTACCGAACCTGCAAATGACTCTTCAGGTGGAAAAGAGTTAATCCTTGAACGCGCATCAGATTCAAAATTGCTTTAGGTGTCGCCTCTGCAATTGAAATTAACAAAAGNACAAAAAAAAAAAAAAAATCAATTATAATACAATGCAAACAATATGAAATAAAAATGAAATACAATTAATTCACTTATCAACCCTCTAATTATCATGAAACAAAGGCTCTTGCAATCTGCATGCATATATATTATATCCTTATATCTCTCATTGTTTTTATATATATACTAAAAACTTAAAACTCAACAGAAGAGATATAGAAGAAGATTTTTACTATCCGCTCCACCAAGATCGTTCACAGCCTTAACAAACTGGTCGTGAAGATCGGGCGTCCAACGAAGCCGAGGTTTCGGATACATAGCCGAATCAAAAACCTCCCGCTCGACAAAACACTCATGAATATTCAAAGGTTCTTCCCTTGTATTAGTCATTCAGTTGTATTGAGATAGAGCAAAAAACAATCAAGAGATTAGAGTTAATGTTATATTGCATAAACAGAGAAAGAAAAGGTTTCTCTTTTACTGTCTCACTCTCCCCTTTTCTTGGTTTTTTCTGCATGTGTGAGTAAATGCGTTTGGTGTGCACTGATGCATGCAGAGGGTATACGTGGAGTGGTGATGAGGGAGGGCTTTTGTTTCGTTGGTGTAAAGATTTAAACGAGGTAGTTTGGTGGGATTGTCTGCTTCTCACTCACCACCATTTTTAGAGTAAAAACTGAATATATATTTAATGTGGGGATGTATTCGTGTTTATGATAGATGGCCCATTTTTTCTTGTTTTCCATTATCTCAGGCTTTATGTTTTGGTACGTTAAAGCGGGCGCAAAAGAAACCTGGGTTGGCATCAGAATCACCAGTACAACTATTGGGTCACTTGAACAATTGATGAATCGAGATAAATTAATTTAAAAAAAATACTTATAATACTTTTATATCTCAAGTGAAAGTAGTTATTTTCACATCTCTATGAAGATGTATTAAGTTTTTTACATTGCATATATACTAAAAAATTAATTTTTTTTTTTTTTTATTTTAGAAAATGCGAAAACATTATGCAATACATTGACGATTAGACGACGAATATGCACAAATTTCATATGGATAGTTCGGTTAATCGCAGGGTCATCGTCGTGTAGTCGCAGACCCAATTTATTTTACACAACTTTCTTCTTATGCGAATGAACCTACGATTACTAGGCGAATGATAATCGCATAATAGTGTAGAATAGTCACGAAATTTTTTTGGGTAAATTACTTTTTCCTATTCAAACTATCGTGATTTTCTCGGCTTACCATATCAATTATTTTTTTTACAAACAGCCATATGAACTCCATGTTTTTTTTTAGATTTTGCCCACTAAACCGGATATAAAGTAGCTTTGGCCTTAAAAAGTTCACTTTCGAGGGCATTTTAAGAATTTTGTATATTTTTTTATTAGAAGAAGAAGCTAGAACCAGATCGTCGCCAACCAACTATTATTCCGGCGCCACCTCTCTCCATTGTTGCCCTCCTCATCGCCTGCGCCGCCTACCTCTTAGGGCTCGGCTGTCGCCACCATTTTCTTGGCTGGCCTTTGGTTGCTCGACATTTCCAAGACTCCAACAACGACATACATAGCCCCACTCGGGCCCTCCTTTGCTTTCTTCATGGCCATCGAAAAACGTGCTCGGCTACGTTGTCGGAGCAGTCGACGGCCTCCACCGCCGTCTCCCATTTGCGGCGGCAACTGATGCCTGTGACAAGAGCGGGCGCACATCAAGGCATGCTTCATTTTGCACGTCGGGCTCATCGGGCTTGTTGTGGGCGGGCCTCGTCGGGGAGGAGCCTGTTTGACCTCGATGAGTGGGCCCCATCATTTTTCTCTCAGCCAATCCACACTACATGCCACCGCTCTCCTCACCCAATCCACAATCGTGAAGATCCTCCTTGAATTGTAGAAAACTGACATGAAAAGCCTAACCGGCAACAAGAATCCGTTGGCAAACGAAACCCCCTCCATGAACACCTGGCTCGCCAGTAGGAAGAGGTGCGAAGCCGCCGCCTGGACCCCCTCCCCATCCCCCTCGAGCGTGGCTGGGGCATGAGCACGATCGGGAGGCGCAGGTCGATCGCCTCCGCGAAGGCGACGTACAGGCCGAGGATAGGGTTTTCCCAGCCGAATATATTAAATTTTCACACCGTCCACTAAGAAGTTTCAAATTTTTTACCCCAGAAAGTGCGAAAAGATTATGCGACGGTTAAACTACGAATATGCAGGTATTGGGTGACAGTTCAGTCAATCGCGAGTCTGTGATCGGATAACCACAAACCCAATTATTTTTTAAATAATTATTATTGTTATGCCAATGAACTTGTGACTACTAAGCGGATGATAATCTAAATAATTATTCTTGATATGCAAATGAACCTACGACTACTAAGCCAATGATCCATAATAACCGCAATAGCTGTAAATGAACACAAACTTGTGTACCATTAGTCAACTCCAGGAATATTAGCCTATACGGTGTGTTAATTTGTTTATACTAAAAATCTAACTTAACTTTAATCCAACTCTATTATTCTCAATATTATCAATATAATTAAATAATATCAATCAATTATTTTTACATATTACATTAACTTCAAATCACTATTCATCTACTCACATAATTTTAACTAACCATCACTTTCACATCATCTTTCTATTACTTTTATGTCAAATTAATTTTAATTATTTTATTGTAAATATTATTTTGATATAAATTCAAAATCCTACTAACAATTAAATTAACTATACTATATTTTTTAAAAAATTATAGTTAATCAAAAAAATATATGTATGCAAGCATGCCCCATTAACAACCAAAAGAACCACCTTTTGTTAGCAAAATAATTTTCATACAGTTGGGCCACGGCGACATTTTGAAAACGGGCCCCTCCTGAATTATGTAATTGCACAAAGCAACCCCTCCATCAGTTTCAAACTAGCCGTTGTGTATCCGCTGTGTCAACAACTTCATCTGACGCTCTCAAATTTCTGTTGCCAGCCTTTTCCCTCACATCCCCAAATCAATCACACCCATAGTAGGACAAACTCCAAACAGCGAAGCTTTTTGCAAGAACCCTAAAATATCGCTGCCCTAACGAGCGGGTTTCTGCGTTTGGACAAAACCCTGCGGCCATGTTTACTGAAGGGCTGGACGAGAGCGCCATCAATTGGATCAAGAAGGTAGTTTTTTCATGATCCATCCATTTTTCTTTGCACATTTTCTTGTTTCTCGTCCATTTCTGGTGATGTATGTGTAAGGGGCGTTTTTGGCTGTGTTGGGGGTCCAATCTTTTTCGGAGCAGAAGTACTTTTAATGATGCAATTTCTGAATATTTTTTATGTTGAGTTTGAGATTGGGGCACAAATGTTGTAAATTTGATTGATTCACTTGCAGGGAGCAGATGCAGAACAACTTCAAACTCGAACGCCATTAACCGAGAAGCTAGATATGAAATACCCTCTTCCTAGATCGCCATTAGCATATGGTTCGAGCAATTCCCATGTTCTGCCTCCGTTGAAATTCCACTCTGGTCTACTGAAACCCCTCAACACTGTCACTCTAAGTGCCGATAGCAATGAAGAAGAATCTGACTATTACAACGATGATAATTTGGATGAGAGTGAGAGTGTGGGCTCGGCCCCAAATGAATTATATGGTAACCAATCGGATGATGAGATAGTAGATATACTGCCGGTCATAAGGGGGTTTGAAGATGTGTTTAACGTCAACCCAACAAAAAAACAGAATGGGTCCACAATAAATAGAGGGCTGCTGAAAGAGGATCTTAGGATTGAAGTTCCCCCAAGTGTACGAAGATTCAGCGAGGGGCTGGGCAGTGCAGTTTCAGGTGGATTTAAAGAGAAAATACAACCTCGAAGTGCATATGTAAGAATCAACTTATTATTTTCAATAACAATGATGTACTATATCTTGAAAGTTGGGTATTATTCCTGGAAGTTGTTTCTTGAATAAGTTCAAGAATTTTCAAATCAATGTAGGGTACTCCCATTGGTGTGTTGGGTGAAACTGCAGACCTTGGGACTCCAAGTGCACCACCTTTCATGGATATTGGGAATGTACATGACTTTGAGATAGGTGATGAGAAAAGCATCAATGGTCAAAACAAAGAATTAGAGAAGGTTTTCCCTGGGGCTGATGTGTTTTCAGAGCAAAGTAAAAAACCTTTGGAAGCTAAAGCAGAAGTTGGTAAAAGGTATGATGTAGAAAAACCAGCTATTGGAATTGGTTACTCTTTGTACATGTCCCTTCACCTGCCAGACATTCTTTGTAGGATTGATGAGGAAACGCTTGTGGGAAGAGAAGATTATCCTGCACCTGTGTGTAGCGCCAATTCTGTTAGTCACGTACCAAATTACCTTGCCAGGTCATACTTTCTATGTTTTCTGGCATCGTTGTTGTTCTTGTATTCTTGTCTAACTTTCCCAAGATTTTGCTGATCCTTTTGTTCTGCTATTATTTTTTTTTTTTTTTTCTTNGGGGATGGGAGTGGGGTTTATGGGAGTTTTGCCTATATAAGAAGCTGTCTTCAAATTAGTTCCAAAGTATCATCTAGTATTGTCTTTCCATCAATAGGTGAGCTTAATCATGTAGTATTGTACCTGGTCAGCAATTACTGTCTACAATGCATGTTATCTAGTCCGTAAGACCACAGAACGCTTTGCAAAGTTTTACGGGGTATTGTTACTGCATCTCAACAATCAAGTTATTTCAATTCGTTAAATAGCAATAGGAATCAACCTGGAATTTGTCTGAATATGTCTAGTTTTCTGACTGCAAGAAACTCGATAGCCTCAGAGAACATTTTCAAGCTAGTCTTAATCCATAAAGCGTGTTGCAAGTGGTTACCACCAATGTGGCTTATTTCTCCCAAGCATCTGAAATTCCATTCTCTCTCTGATGACAGTGGTCAGAATGCATGGCAAGCTCTTATTGCTTATGATGCCTGTATTCGTTTATGTCTAAATTCATGGGCAAGAGGCTGTGCAGAGGCGCCTGAATTCTTACGAGATGAGTGTCATCTTCTTCGTAATGCTTTTGGGTATGTCTTCCATATCCAATTTATTGTTTATAATATGATTTGGATCCATAAATGGAATCTGTCTATGAACTCTTTTGCTTCCTCTTTAGGTTACACAAACTTTTGCTTCAGCCCAGAGGTGTGCAACAAACTGAACGAGATACTAAGACCATAGAACAGGCAACAGCTTCAAAAGTGAAAAGGACAGTAGGAAAGATTCGCGTGGAAGGTTGTTCATTTGTCCCTTGGTCATCTACAAATTTTTTCTGTGGTGTACCATTGACTTGCTTGCGATTACTTGTTTAGCTTCTATTTTGGATTTTTGCATATGCATGTATGACTGACTACATGATGTAATATGACAACTGTTTCAAAATATTTATATTAACCTGTTTCTTAAATCATTTTTCTGGATCTGCAAATTACTTTAATAAGGTATAATGAGCATTCTTCCATAAAGCAGGTTTTTAGTATTATATGCCCTTTCTCATACTATTTATTAAGGTCGAACTCATGAGAAGTCGGTTTTTGTGATGTAAAAATGGCAATATGCAAATTGTTAAGACCTAACACCAAACCAGTCATTTTTTATAACTATTTTCATTTGTCAGTGAAAAAGCTCCGTATAGTACCTCAGAGAAGAAAGCTTAAGAACACAAACTCCATGAGAGGAGCTATTTACCTACAAGCTGGGGCAGACTATGTCCGACATGTTTCATCTAGAGTGAGACGCAGAATCAATTTTCTCAAACACAGTACATTATCTTTGACATGTGAAGGTTTGTTACTCGCTGACAACCATCTGGGAAATCTTAACAATTATTGTCCGTCCACACAGAAAACCAGAGGAAATAATTTTTCCCAGTATCTTACATGAATTAATATTTAGCTTAATAAACAATCTTCTTTTGTTATGAAAGTCGATTGATTGTTTTCTACCAACATGCATATGATTAGCTTACTAAGAATGATGAATTATCTGCAGAATCACTTTCATGCATGATTAATCTTAGAAGTTCAATGGAAGATAATGAAGGGGAACCATCTTCTGCCATCATGATGCGACCAGGAACTGGTGCATATCATGACTTGTAAGTTGAAAACCAGTTAATGCTTCATTCTTTAATGACCTCAAACTATTGTAGACTCGAAGAACAACATTAGATTCATATTGAATATTTTTTTCTGTCTACGGTTTAATCATCTATATTGTTGCTTGAAAACATTTGTGTCCATATCAATGTCTTAGCCACAACCACTGTAAAAGTAAAATGTTTTCTCGGTATGTATCTGAAATCTCATTGACATGACTTGCAGAAGAGCACACTAACTTTGCCAGATATCTGCATGTGCTCACCATCATTTTGTGTTCGCATCTAATTTTCCACCCACAACTTTGTGGATAAGATCATGTTGTGTTACATGCTGAGTGCTGACACATCAAAAAATAATATATTTTAATTTAATAATTCACACAACATTATATGCTAGTGGACGCTTGTTGCATTAGTCTAAATATTGCTCTATGTACAAAAATCAGATCCACACTTCGCACAATATATATTATGTTTCTAATCTACTATAGGATACATTGATCACTGAAATTTGGTTTCAGTTTTCCTGAGACTCAAGGAGATACTCTGTCACTTGAAGTTCTGGACACTATGAAAAATGTTCAAGGTTGTGCCACAATTCCAGTTTCTTCCCTGACAGAGAATCCAGTAAGTGAACTTTATGAAGCAGATGATATTTAATTAGCTGAATTCTTCTTCTTCTTTTTGTGTGTGCGCATCAATAATCTCATGTGAACTTATGCAGAATGATAGAGTGCGCTGGTGGCCCATCTATCACATCAATAATGAATGTGTCGGCAAGGTCTTGCTCTCAATTGGAAGTTCATTTACAACTGATGAGACAGTGCCTATGAAGGTATAATTCACTATTTCAGCACATGTATTGTATTTTACAAATCAGAACAGTCACGTAAGAACTTTCAATCGCCATGAATTACTGTACCACTTATCAGATAGATAATTTATGCAATTTGTCGTGAAAATATAATAATTGGTGATAGACAATCATGTTGGAATAAACACAATTCTGAATCTTCATGAAGCTTCCTGCAAAAGTCAAGCTTTTGATGAAAAGTCAGTCGTTTCAGTTGAGTTTTGAATGAGAAATGTGTGAATACTTACTAATATCTCAATTTCAAATTCTTCACAAGCTGCATTTAACTGTGGTTCTTAGGTTATTGAGATAACCATGTTTATACCTTGTTATATGGTGTTGAAAATTAAGGTAGATAAATTCATTGAGCATGATCTCATGTTTAAAATATTTCCACTGTAATGTGATAGAGTGGATCAATAGTGGAGACCCTAGCATACGATCTTCTACTGGAGGCTGCCATGAGGGCGATACAGTTTCATGGGCGGAATTTACGCATTGAGGGGCCCTGGAAATGGATCTTGTCAGAATTTGCTGACTACTATGGAGTTTCTGACTCGTACACAAAATTGAGGTACATGCAAGTAGATGGAATTGAGTGTTCTGTTTTGCAATGTCAAAGAGAGATGTAAAATGTTTCCTTTGGATTTCATGCAGATACCTTTCTTATGTCTTGAATGTCGCCACTCCAACTAAAGATTGCTTAGAACTTTTGCATGAGTTGCTTGTCCCAGTCCTCAAGGCCAGAAGTGAGAGAAACTTAACAAGACAAGAAGTAAGTGTCTAGTATGAGATCAGTATTCACATCATGCATCATTTCTCCATGGCAACAGGAGCTCCATTTAATACTTTTATACCAAGTCATTACCTTTCAAGAATTCTTACTGAGAGTAGCCCTAATGGATTTGTTTACTGACTTTAGTGTCATGAGATTTAAAATATAAAATACACATTCTCCACTAGGATGACAGGATTGTAATTGGGGTGAAGAAGATTAAAGAAGCTGATACATTCTAAAGTCCCTGAAAACGATAGGACATGGGACTTATTAACATTTAAGAACCTAATAATAACACATTTTTCTGTTCTGAATGGGATATCAGTGTCGACATGTAAAATCAATAGAATGTATTGAAATTTGTAGTAATGTTTCGCTTCTTGGAAAAATCTTGCATGAGCATGCCTCAGGCTTTAAAAACCTACTGAAAAGCATGCTTTTTTGATTCACGAATTTGATTCGTTTGCAGATTACTTTATGTTGCTCACATGTGTCTTTCACTTTTTCAATTTTTTTGGATTTACAGAAAAGCATTCTATTAGATTGTGAGAATCAAATCGAAAGGCTTTTGGCAGAGGTGTTTCAGAACTACAAGTTGCTTGATGAAAAATCTGCAACCGGTTTGGCAGATATGTCGGCTCCAATATCAGAAACTGCAGCACCAGCACTAACTCCGGCCGTTCAAATATACACATTTCTACATGACATACTAGCTCAAGATGCTCAGACTGTGCTGAGAAACTATCTTGAGGTAAGTCCCATCAAATGCTGCACATTATCAATAGGTCCAGAGATGCTTGAAGAAATAAATCTTGCTTTTGGTATTCCTGTGTAATAATTTATTGAGATAAATATATATTCTATGTACAGTACCTGGGAAAGACATAAAAATTTCCCTTATTTTGTTCGTTGAAATAGCATACGAATAGATTATTTTCTGTAATTGCTGTGTTTCGTGGTTTTGAAATAAGATTAATATATATATATATAATGGTAATTTTATAGGCGGCAGCAATAAAAAGATGTAGAAAGCACATGATGGAGACAGACGAGCTTGTGTCAAGCAACTCCGAGGGTTTTGTTATGGATGCAGATACGATATCTAAAGCCTACATGAAGATGAAGAATCTGGCCATCAACATAAGAAATGAAATTCACATTGACATAAAGATCCATAATCAGCATATATTCCCCAGGTATATAAGGAACTATTGTAAATATTGCATTTCACTCTTCTTGTACTTTGTATAATGTTAAAGAAAAAGAAAAAAAAAAATGTGATGGTGAGGAGTATGGTAATCTAGACCGTTTTCTGTGTTTTCAGTTCAATAGACTTGTCTACCATCACATCAACAGTATACAGCAGAGAATTGAACAAGAGACTTGGAAGCTTCTTAGCCTCATGGCCGCCATCAAGTCCCATGCAACATGTGAATGAACTTGTGATAGCATTGTCTGACTTTGAAAGGAGTCTCGAATCGTGGAATATCAGGTTCATACTTCTTCCTACTTTTGTCTTGCCTTACTCAAAGAAGCATTGGGAGTAATTTGATTGCCATTCTAACTGTTTTTTTTTATTATTATTATTCTTTTGGTTTATTCTTTTTTCCTTTTATACTTGCTCAAATTTGTGTGATCAGCCCTGTCCAAGGTGGTGTTGACTCCAGAGACTTATTCCACGGATACATCATGGTTTGGATACAAGATCTACAACTCACCTTGCTTGATCTTTGCAAAGCAGAAAAGGTACTTATCTACTATTAATTTCTTTCTCAACCAAAGGTTAAATGAAACTTATGAAAGGACATTTTCAGGCAAGGATATGTAATTAGTTCTTTGGTTTTACTTGTTAAATAGTTTTGACTATTGCATTTGTGAATTTCTCCATGCAGGTACCTTGGGCCGGGGTGTGCACAAAATATTCAACCTCTCCATTTGCAGAGGAAATGTTTGAAAAGATGTCAAGGATGCTCATTGAATATGAGGTCGTGATCAATCAATGGCCTCAATATACATTGGTTTTGGAGAACGTGAGTTTTAGCTTTTACTATTCCCCATAACTATTGAAGGGCTTTAGAACATTAATCAAACAACATTAGCAATTCGCAAAGAGCATCCATATTAGCTTCTGACGTGCTAGAATATATTGTACTATTTTATGGGCTCGAGATGATTCGTTTATTACAATCCTGACCTTATTTAACTTACTGTTCTTTTTATGGAATCTTCATTCCAAAGGCGGCTGCAAATGTGGAAAGGGCGATAATTAAAGCTCTAGAGAGGCAATACCATGACATTTTAGCCCCTCTAAGAGATAGCATTCCCAAAAAAATAGGCATGCAGGTTCAGAAGTTGGCCAGGAGGCAATCAACAGCATATTATTCCATTCCGAGCCAGGTGAGCAGAACTTTTGCCCGATACAAGTTTATGACTGCCAAATTGATGCAATATCTTCGATGTTTTTATACTTACTGAATCAGATGTCGTCCTTGTTTCACCAAGATATGCATGTCCCGTAACAAGCAGTCGCTTCTCTTTTCTTTTCTTTTTTCTTTCTTTTTTTTTTCTTTTTTTTTTGGTTATGGATGCCTATATGTTATCTGCAATCATAATTCATATCAAGGGAAAGTTATTAAATAATTATACCTTGAGGTTCTTTATTTGCTTGTTGTTCTCCGCTATCTTAAATGCCCTCCACACATTTTTTTACATGACTACTTTGATCAAATCAGTTAATTCTTCTATATCCTCCTTCGGTGTTTTTTGCAGCTCGGAATTTTTTTGAATACAGTGAAGAGAATCCTGGACGTTCTGCACTGTAGGATAGAGGACAAACTCAAATTGTGGGCTTCCTATCAACCTGCAAATGGAGATAATAAATCCACTTTTGGGGAGCCGATGAATGCTATAACTGTTCTTCTACGAACAAAGTACAAAAACTATATTCAAGCTATTGTTGTCAAGCTGACTAGCAATGTAAGCCTTTATTCCTAAAACCCAAACAACCATCCAATTACAGCATCAACAATTTAAATGATTAAAAACTCAAATTTGTGGAATCAAATATGTGTTGTGATGAAAATTAAGTTTTCTCTCGGAAAAATTGAAAAGCTGTGTTTTACCGCAATCTTATCTGTCGGTTTTTTTGCAGATGCAAGATAACAGGAGCACTCGTCTTCAGAGAATCTTGGAGGACACAAAAGAAGCCGATGGGGAGGCTCAGATTCGAGAGAGGATGCAATTGCTGAGCACACAACTCTCTGACACCATCTCTAACTTGCATGAAACCTTCACGAGCCAAATCTTTGTGGCCGTCTCTCGTGCTTTCTGGGACAAAATGGGACAAGTAAACTTAAAAAAAAAACACCTTTCAGACACATTTATAATACAAACACACGTATCTTCTTGAAATTTGGTTCTTACTTTGATTCACTTTCCTCTTCACAGATTGTGCTGAAGTTTCTGGAAGGGAGAAAGGAGAATCGGGTCTGGTATACAGGATCTTATCACGCTTTGGGGGTGAGAGACTACTCTTGGATTCTGTTTTAATATAAATATACTCTACACTAACTAAAGCAGTTGATTTGTGTATAAAATGTTAAGATATTTGGACTGTTTGATATGCTTATTTATTTTCCAGGTTCTGGATGACATATATGCATCCGAGATGCAGAGGCTGCTGGGGAATGCACTGCAAGAAAAGGATTTGGAGCCCCCTCGATCAATCACGGAAGCTCGATCCATACTGTCGAGAGACACTACCAACAGAATGGATTCGTCCTCGTACATATATTTCTAGATTATTAACCACTTGATGCTCCTTTTCCCCATGTTGCTGTTGTGTTTGTTTTAGCATGGAATTTTTTTGAAGTATATGATTCTTTTTGTATGTAAAACGTTGATTAATTCTTTGATAATAAGTAAAAGACGTATCTTTTTTTCCCAGTTAGGCATAGTAGTGATTCAAGACATGTTGCTGTTGTGTTTGTTTTGGCATGGAGTTATATCATTCTTTTTGTATGTAAAACGGTGATTAGTTCTTTGATAACAAGTAAAAGAAGTAATTTTTTACTCAGTTAGCCATAGTAGTTATTCGAGACATGTTGCTGTTGTGTTTGTTTTAGCATGGAATTATATGATTCTTTTTGTATGTAAAACGGTGATTTCTTTGATAATAAGTAAAAGAAGTATTTTTTTACTCAGTTAGCCATAGTAGTTATTGACTAATGTTGTGAAGCTAAATTGCTATTTCTCAAACAAGGTACAAGTCAAAAGAAGTGTAAGAAAGGAAAATAATAATTAAACAAAAAAAAAAAACTAATCTACGGGATTTATTATATCATCTAATTAATACAATCTAATCTATACCATAACACTCTCCCTCAAGCTTGTTACAAATATTCTTATTCTTACATCATGTACTGCTTTTGGTAGACATGCACGCTGTAAATATTAACTCCAACACAGGAAACAAACGAAGTGTGCAACGAAAAAAGTGGAATAAGAAGTTAGTACATTGTATTGAGCCTGACTAAATTATTAAAAATTAACAACTCGAAGTTATGAAACTGTATTGAATATAAATAACTTAATATTAAATTTTATCTGATCTATGTTGGGTTTGCAAAGCTATCATGAAATTCTTATTTCCAATTCGCATTTGTGGATATTGTATAAAATGCAACTTCATATAAAGTGTTTTCATCAATTCTAATGTAATAGAATTTAGAACTTAATAAGGAATAGTGTGGCACAGTCCTTGGAATAGAACATAGTCAACATACTCAACATAGTGCAAATTGTTCGCTTATGAGCGCTCATTCTCTTTCGAGTTTCGACCTGTAATGAGATTAAGAGTGAGGCGGAAAAGATGAAACTAGCTTTCGAGTGGAAGGTAATATAGTAAGAGTGTCTTTCACAGGCCATCCGAATGAAATCAAACAGAGGACAACAAAGTTATAGAACTAACTGGAGATGCATTACATAAGACAGCAAGCCACATATATGAGGTTGTTCGATAATATGGCAACAATCAACTTCAGATCAATATGAGAAAGCTGATAATTCCACACACCCTAGGACAATTTTCAAAGGATGACAACTTGACATGCCTCAGATCCTCTCTCAAACGATGATATTATCTTGATCGCTTTACGTTTTTTCTTCAGGTTACAGTCTCGGGTTTGTATTTCCATCCTCCTCAAGACTTTAGCATTCCGTAAAATATATCTTACAATGTTAAACTGTAGAGCAGTAAAGCCAAAGTAAGTAACTCTCAGTGTTCGATGATGTGATACCAAGCACGGTGCCACTTTTTTGGGCTCAATCCAGCGTTCTGGATCTCCATACAACTGACGGCAATAGGAAAAAGAAAAGAAAAAAAAAAAGGAGAGGAAAGAGCCAAAATGAACATATCAGAAAAGAAGAATCATTTGAATAGAAAATAAAAGGAAGCCGAAAGAACATACTGAACCGAATGTGATTGTTTCGAGATTGTCAGCATTTTCAAGGAGAAATGGGAAAAAACGGACGTCTGCCGAAAACTCTAGTTTGGTTAAATTTGGGAACTTTACAACCAATGCATGAAATGCAGAATCAAGAACCTGCAAAACAAAATTGCACCCAACACCAGTGATGTAAAATCAAAAACTGAAGTGGAACTTTCAGCAAAAGAACAAAAGTGCAAAGAAAATTGGGGTTCAAACAGCTAGATACCTCCATCGTTCGGGTTGATAAATTCAGGCACGTCACATTACACAGCTTATTGACAAATCCCATCACAGAATGAGAATAAGAAACAACATCTTCAATCGGCTCAACGAGATTTATGTATATATCTGCCTCAACTAAGGATGCAAACCCCTCGGCAAAGATATTCTCAGATCTAATATCACGTAATTCAAGATATCTAAGTGCCGGAGTATCTATCTTCACCCTCAAGACCGTTTCACTATCTATATCACAATCTGTACTGAGTTTGAGCCTAATTAGAGAAGGTGAAGACACAAAACAGCTTAGCAAAGTGTCCGACAGCAAACTCAACTCCTCAAGCACCCGGCAACCAGAAACCAAGCACGTAAAGCATTCGTCACATTCAAACTCAACTGAGTAAAGTTGAAGCCTCTTCAGGGAAGGCAATATATAGTGGCGGTCAAAGGCAAGTCACAGCAACAATAAGAAAGAGTCAAATCAATGAGGGTTTCGCACGAAAACAGACACAGAGGCATTTTAACATCTAACAGAATATTAAGATCCCGGACATTGCAAGAAATGAGAGACGAAATGAGACTGGCAATCCAAGCATATATTTCATCCTGAGAGTAGCAGAAGTCATCATTTGCTAAGCGAAAAGTACTTAGGTTTTGCCCTTTGTACCAGAACATAACCTTGTTAATGATTTCTACCATGTTGTCGCAATATTCAGACAATTCTGCCATAAAGTCGAAATCCAAAATGGGGGAATGGGCCCACAGGGACCGCCACCTTCTTGCCAAAATGCTGGTCTGCACGCATCTCCGTGTTGAGAGGAACGAGAGGATGTGACAGATGACGTCATCCGGCAAGGCGCTTATTCTGTCTCTGGGAACGGCCATAGTCTCTTGTTTGCCGCCTGAAATCCTCCGGCTGGGTTTTGTGCTCGATCGTCTTTATTTTTTCTCCATTACAAAAGGGGGAGAACAGTTGAATCCGGCAAGAAAGAGTAAACCAGACGGTGAATTTGAATACTAATAAAATTGAAAATGAAAATGAAAAGAAACCCTAGTTTCCTCTGATTGAAATTGATTACTTTACCAGCTTACTGAAGCAACTTCCTTCGTCGCCCAAACTGATAGAGCTAGGTATGTAAGAGCGGGATTTTGATATAAAATATATTTCAATTTCGATTAATTATAAATATTTTTAAAGCGTTTTTTTTCTTTTTTTAATCCCCTAGATGTGACGTGTCCAGTAACGGGACACAGTTGTAATGTGTCATTTACTCATATTTAGAGCACCCATATAATTGGATTTGGGTCTGACATTGATAAATTCAAGTAAAAAAATTCAAAAACTTTGTAATGCAAAAATAAACATATTAGGTCTAGCATACATGTTAACCAATAAAAATGCTCTAATATATTTTTTTTATTAAAAGAAAAATTAAATTAAGAATAAATGATGATGTTTGGGTTTGTACTTGGATCCAAAATAAACTCAAGTGTGGACTTGGTCTCTTTTTTTTATTGTCACATAAGCTGGACCATGTCCACTTTTAATTGCATTGAAAAATATTTTTTTATAAACTAAATCTATTTCCCATGTGGCATGTGATTTTTTGTTAAGAGACCCAAAATATTGCGGTGCTCTTAGCCCTTATTCAAAATTTCAATGTAAATTTCTTATTTTGATCAATTTTAAATGATGTGAGACAGCTACTATACTTGGCTGAAATTCAGTTGGAACTAATTTTTATACACTCTTATAGTTATGAGATTCTTTTTATTGATTCTTTTTCTATATTGCTCCAAAGGGATTATTTTTAACTTCAGAATTTCTATGAACATGATGTCTAAAAGACAATACACTTGTTGATACGAATTCTACCAAATATTTTTTTGAATCAATTAATCTGATAAAATGTTCTATTATCCCATATCAAATAATGTATTTAATAACATGTAAATGTAAAATTACGTCTACTTACCACTAGAGCTGTTAAATTAAACGAGCCACTCGTGAGCTCGGCTCCGCTCGTTAACGCTCGAGTTAGGCTCGACTTGTTTGATAAATCAGTCGAGTTTGAGCTCATTTAAAGTTCGTTCAGTTAACGAGTCAAACTCAATTCGGCTCGATAAAGTTCGAAAATATATTTTTTATTTATTTTTCTATAATTCGACTCGATTTTAACTCGTTAATAGTTATAAACGAGCCAAACTTGAGCTCGAGTATAAGTTCATTAAGTTAACGAGTCAAGTTGAGCTCTACTTATAAGGGCTCACCGTTACCTACCACTAATGTATCTACAAGACTACATCTACCACTAATGTATCTCATGTATGTATATCTATCTCAACGTTTACAAAGTTCAAGAAGCCAACATTCGAAATTTTCATGCAGCACATTGAGTAAAACATTGTTCTTTTCGCATGAGTCCGTTTCACGGTTAAATGCTCGGGTCTTCTCATGAAAGCTAACTTTAAGGTTGTGTAACTGCATGCATCAATGTCAATTTTTTCCCATTTTTTTTAATCTTGGAGATATTTACAAGACCTAACAAAAATAAAACAAATTTTTCAGAGAGAGGGCAAATTGATTATAAAACGAATCAATTCAGCAAGGCTCATATGTTGAAATCCAATGGCATTAATAACTATTACAAAACTCAGGCTTTATTATATGGATCAAGGACCTTCCAAGTAATGCATATCCAGATATAGTGTTGTGAGGTGCAGGCTAAGGCATCATCACATTAAGACATGACTAAAACTAATACAACATGATGGTACAACAAACACCCAACATTCATACAGAATAAAACATGTTTTATTTCCCAACAGAAGTTGCAACACGATCCCAAGGCGTGGTTTGACTATGCCACCTTCTATGTACAGAAATTCAGATTTAGAATTTTAGGCACAAAGCTCCACAATCAGATGGATAATTCTCATGCTTCCGAGCGAGACCTTTCTTTTTCAATATATTATATTCAAACAATATCACATTTGCAAAAGATTATTCACAGTGACAGCCACCGAATTTGTCCGCTGCAAATCCTGCAAAACAAATAGAAAACGGTAATGAGAATGCTTTCAGGGAATAAATGCAAAATATTGATATAATAACATGAATATAACGACACAACAGATGGCCATTTTTTCAAGTTGAAGATTACATTATTTTTCACCACTCAGATCCACATGTCCACAGTGTCCAATGTGGAAGTGTAAGTAACAAAACAAAACAAAACACCAGCATTTTTAATGCAATATCCTTTTTGCTCTATGGAATTATCTTCAATCAAACTGCTCTAATCAGTCTCTTAAGGGTATAATTCATTACAACAGCGCACGGCTCAGATTAGTCATAACATACGACAAAATCAAGGGACAAAACAAAAGACAATCAGTACTGCTAGTTGTCAAAATGCCTGGGAAAATCTCTCCTACAAACATCACCAAAAAAAAAAAAAAAAAAAAAAANGAGAAAAAAAAAAAAAAAAAAAAAAAAATCACCACAGGACAAGTTGTTTACCTGAAAGATTAGGTCATCAGGAATATGGGGCAGCACTTCCCGTACTGTTTCAACCATGGCCATTATATTTGCCAGGCTACCATTCACAGTTTGTGATGTTGACCTCATGTGAAAACCACCAGCACCTCTAGGATAGTGTAATGTACTAGCAGCAGGTGTAGCTGCTGACCTGGATGTTCCAGCCTGAGAGGGATTCGGGGGGAAAAGACTCCAAGCAGCATCCTCAAGGACAGTTTGGTCATAAGTTTCTCCTACAGCTGCAAGTTGTCTCACTACCATCTGAACACGACTCAGCCTAGACGGTCCAGCCCCATCTAAACTCAACCAGCTTGAGTCGATCCCACTTACCCTACAAGAAAATGAAAAATACAGAAAAAGAAAAAAGCAGTGCTTTCATTAAGTTCAAATTTTCTTGATAATCAGTCACTCCAGAAGAATTAAGAGCACCACCCACCTCTTCACCCCTAGACTGGAACACGAATAAAAATGAAAAAATAAAAATAAATAAATAAACATGCACACCACGAGCATTTGGTCATATCCACTAATTCTCAACACGAGTACATGAATATAAGCCAAGGAAGGAAAGGGATCATCTTTCAGCCATGCCAAATTGAAGAAGTCAAAACTGTCGTCGTTTAACTTAGGAACCCGAAAGTTCTGAATTGACCACATTCGACAATATATGAAGCAACACTGACACTTTTTGCATTAAGAATCGTAAAGCTATAATCATCCAATACTGCCCTCTCAACCAATATGAGCATTGACTTAATTCCTTCAATATACATGAAAATTGAAAAGTATGCAACAAATGGAACGTAATCACGATTAAACATCAAGAGAAAAGGCAACCTCTCTGGATTCTGTGACTGGCTAGGGAAGACTCCAGGATGAGGATTATGACCGGGAAGATTTGGCCTATCAAGCCCAGTGCTCAATGAACGAGCTAGCTGCTCATCTCTTGGAATTTCGGCAGCCCTGGTACTAGCCCCATTTTCAGGTCTGCCTGCAAATAGTGGCTTCCGACAAGTGGGGCACGAGTAACTCTCAGCTAAACCTTGGTCCAACCTGTCATTCGTCAATCTACTTTCACATCTTACATTTACGAGTAATTTGCTACATTTTCAGACAACTAAGATGACACACGCACCAAGATCTCAAGCACGCGAGATGAAAAAGATGTTTACAAGACAGCTTCTTAGCTTTTGCCATCGGTTCCTGCCAATTTCAATATATTTCACATACTCAGATACAAAACCAACTATGAGAAATAACACAAGAAAACATCAGCTAAAATTACCCTACAAATTGCACACTCATCATCATATACTCCGAGCTCTTCAGATGTGGCATCCGGAAGGGCCCCATGAAGGGTTCCCAGAGCACCACGCAGTTTGATGAAACCCTTAGCACGTCTCACAATCGCACCTAGAATGGCCTAAGAATAACAAAAGATAATATAAGTACAGACAAGAAATAAGGACAGGGATGGGCAACAGCTGCAACAATAGCAACTATAGTAACACCATCAGGAGGATTGCGTGGTCTGTAATTGCAATTGATAGTAGAGAGAACATTTACCCGGATATTTAGGAAAAGGACAGCATCCACAAGATGAAATGCCATTCCATGAAGAAACCAAATATGCAAATAATGAGCAAGAGCCATCAGCATTGTCATCATGTCCAGGAAAAACCCCAAATTTCGGATGAGGATGCCTTTCCACTCCCCCAAAGAGCCTAGGAAAAAAGAACAACTTCAAAGTTTCATTGACAGCAGAAGAAAAATTGCAAATCAAGTGTCAGTTTCAATTCACCAGCACACAGGTGGGACATGTACAAACGACCTATAAACATTTCATAGAAATCTGCCAAACAAAAGTTACCTAGTCCCTAATTAAAAATAGCTAAATGCATGATTAAGCACCAGAAGGTATTATATCACCGCATGGTACTTTCATACAAAAGACTGGTTTCACATTTTCTTACTTTAGCATGGTACTTTCTCAGACTAATTTCCAAAGGTATTATATCAACCGCAATGCTAATCAGTGTGGATAAATATAGCTATAAATTCTTCTATTTGTTCATGCTTGATGAAAACAACCTAACTGCAGAGTATCAACTAGGATACTATATGGAAATTAGCACAAAGCAATTTCTTGAATACCTGATTGAAAATAAACTAAAATGGCAATTTACAAGAATAAAACTTTGAAACTCACCTGCTGGGGATATATCCAAGATTTTTGATAACCGGCAACTCGCACTATCTCCTGCAGAGTGATGAAGCCATATCTCAAGCAATTGAAATCCATGAACCACAATTGCCTACAGATCAAAATTACAAACCATCAGCCGACATGGGACTTCTATACAATTAGGCCTTTAACTTAAGAAGTAAGCATCACCTGTAATGTTTCAAAAGCAATGCTTGAAGGCTCAAAGAATAACAACAAAAACATTGGTGAACTAGTCTCATTGTATATTATCAGACACAGCAAGATCCTGCATGGATAGATCAATCCCGGTATGAAATTTCGAATATATCAGAAACCTTGACAGAAATAGAAAAGAAGAGTTGTGGTAAAGATTAACTAGAAAATATTTTAGTTCCATCATAAAATGTAACAAGATCAGGGGTTAAATATCTTTATCCCATTCTTTAATAATACATGTGAGAAATTCAAGAATTGACAATGCAGACCAGATGAATACTAGTTACTTCCTTACTGGCTTATGTACTCAAAGTTACAGCAATCATCATTGCACATAACTAGAGCCCGTAAAGTTGAGTGCTTTCCCTAACCTGTATTAAATAAAACTAACTTATCGATAACTATTTCGTGAATAGCCAGAAGCCCACAACAACGTGTCACACATTACACTAGTTTGTCTATGAAACTCCCTGTGTTGAGTAGTGCTCCTTGATCTAAAACTATAAATGATCAATTCTGAAAGAACCAATTTCTTATGACAATAAACTTGGCATCAATACAGCTGTAAACAGAAGTTTGGCTGATCAGCAGAAAATCTCAAACATGGAAGATGATAAAACATGAGCACTTGTGTTTCCCTAACACGACATTTCAGTGGAAGTGGCAGTTCAAGACAAGGATGCTTTATGGATAGCAAGCTAGATTGTTGGGAGTTGATTCGTTGTTTCCTCAAAAGATAAGAAACCTTATGTGAAATATATCGAATCAAGAGAAGCAAATAGATGACGCTAACTACAGTCGTTTCATGCCATCCCTCAATAAGGTGAAATTGCTTAAGTTTGTATTCTTTGACAATAAGGAACTTTCACTTCTCATAAGTCCATTCATACAATCATGAATACATGATCTGAAGCTAAATTGGAAAAACCCCAAAAGAACTTATATATTTCAAACAATGGAAGACAGCAAGGCAATAAAAAATTAAACGGATCAAAAAACCCCAAGAAGAATTCACATTTTTCAAGCAATGGAAGAAAGCAAGTCATTAAAAAATTTACACGGATTCAAATTCAGTTGGTTGTGATTGATTGCATGACCAATTCACAGTAAGCAAACAAGATATGGATGATCCGCACCACATGCCATTCCGCATATTTTTGGTGTAATGACCCATTGTGCCTACTTAGGTCTGAGGAGAAATCCAATTTGCCTATGTGGGAAATTCTATGGGGGTCCCTTGCTTGTTGAACAAGAGATAACCCTATTGGAGGACACGAGACGAAATATGTACCCTTAGAGGATAAACATAATCCTACAAAGGGAGAAAACTCAAAAAAAAAGTAGAAGAAGAAAAAAGAAAAAAGAAAGCAAAACTGAATAAAACGTAAATACTTACATATACATCTATGTGTACATGCGTATGTATAACAAGAAGATCAATGGAAAGTGCTTCATTTTGTATTAAGAAACAGCAGTAAAGGGAAGCCATTTCAAGGACATAAATCTATTCAAGAGTTTCTACAAAGAAAAATATCGCATTATACATATTTTAAGTAAAAAAGCAAATGCCTACAAGACAGAATGGTAGAAAAATAAATAAAGTAAGCAAGTCAACAGCACAAAAAGATACCAGAGCAAGTCACCAGAGAGAACAAACAACAGCGCAGAATATACGCGGAAGTATGTCCAAGGGGTGGCAGAGGGAGAAACATTCAATCGTTCAAGTCGATCCCTGGCCAAAGCTTGAAACATCTAACCAATTTGCAAATATTTCCACCACACGTCAACCACCATATACGCTTGATAATATCAACTAATTGATCATAGTTTCAATGAATACCTTCAAAAAACAAAGTACAGCTAACCAAGTCGACCACAGTCCTGCTTGAAATATTGTTGGTGGAACCACTAATGGAAGAAAAGTTCCCTATCAAAAGCATATTAGTACAACTCTGTGGCACAAACAAAATTGATATAATATATTCAGCAGAAGATAATCGTTTTGAAAATATCCATTAAACTACTTTTTAGAATCTTAATATCAATTTCTTTAATAAACAAAAAAGAAACCATTTCACTCAACATCGCGCTCATCACAAACAACCGTCCAAAAACTTTCATGCATGGTTCGTTTTGTAACGAGTTAATAACTCCTATCCTCAAAAGGAGCTCCATCAAATAGGGTCAATTAACTTGGAGACCAAATATGGAGATCAGAGTACTGAAACACATTCGAGTGTTTTCTTGCCCTAAATGTGCCGCCTGACCAACAAATTGAAGGCCAATAGATAGATGAAAGGTGATTTAAATAAGCATGGAGTTCATATGATCAGTATTGAGAAACCCAGCAAATTAACTACTCTGACTAATAAGACTGAATATGAGACTATAAGACTTTCATGAGATGTAAAAATTTGGAATTGCATAAATTTAGCTTCTCCATACAGAACTTTTGGACTTGTAATTGCAATGATTTTCTTTTTATTTTTCAATTCTTCCTTTTTTTTTTTTGTGTGTGTGAGTGTGTGTCGGGTGGAGGGAAGGGACTTAAAGGACAGAGATCGACCATTCCACGAGGTAATTACGGAGGACAAAAATTATATATATTCTAAAATCAAGTGATTATTTATAGGATGCATATAACGAGAGGATGATGTAGGTCTTTGTAACTCTGGCCATAAAAAATCAACAGCAACTTACAACCACAAAAGGATGATCTATATCATGGCACAACATAAATTGATCAAGAAATTACATTATTAAAAAAACCATTGATATTGGGTAGAAACGTTCAAAATTTCACAAAGACATCATTCAAAATAACCACCTATAAATGAAAGAGCAAAGAAGTGTCAAATAAGAAATGATCCATATTAATGAACAAATAATTGGAACGCAGACGCAGAAGTTAAATTATTCTCACAAATTCACAATTGATTATGCAGGACTAATAGTGGTCAATGATGAATTAATATAGTATCAAAAATATGGTTGTTTTGCCACCATGATACAAGACAGATATAATTGTGTCGTGCAGCTTCCTAAGCAGTATTAACAATGTGATTGAGGGAAGGAAGCAGCATTAAGTCCTACAGGCTAAAGTCGTTTAAGTCCCAAAACCTTGTATCTCCTTCCACTGGTGAGTCAATATATCTCCCAGATGCCAGCCGCCATGGGCTTTCTTTTCCCATTTTCTGCTATGATTTACTAAAGTTTATTTATGTTTAACGTTTACACGTACTAGGACATATATTGTTCTTTGTTCCTTTGTTTAACATGACTTCCTCAGCAATTTCTCAAGTTTTAATCAATATTTGATTCTTTATTTTTTTTAATATATATATATATATATATGTGTGTGTGTGTGTGTGTGTTTTATTTTTTGTCATCCGAAAATAATTTTTTGGTTCTTTTCAACAATAAGTTGTTTCATAAATTCACATAAGAGAGCATCAAACTGTGACCAGATAAGTAAAATATAACTTTTACATTAAAAACAAAACAAGTTATTAAAAATTACCTTATATATGATATAATTAATAAGGCGCTCAAGCATTTTCCGTATCTCTGATGTATACAACTCTGAAAAGAATATTGTCTGCAAAAAGGAGCAAAAGAAATGGCATCAGCAAACTGCTATAAGATCGTAATGATGCTGACATCACCAGTGCTAAAAACAATAAGCCACTTCCATGCCAATTGAAAGATAAAGAAACACGAGAAGCATATCAATAAAAAATGAAAAGTACCTTTAAGCCTAAAATTATCAAGACAGCTACATTAGTTGCAAAACAGGCCACCAACAGAAGAGTGGTGTACGAACCCAAGAGTAAATCCAAGGCATGGCTTACATCTTCCAAATTAATAAATTCATCAACAACCAAACCATTTGATTTATGCTTTTCAAGTGAAACATCGGTCCAATACTGAAGGCCGACTAGGCTTAGAGCAGTACAAGCCACAGAAATGAACAATGTGTTCACACCCATTGGATATATATACAGTTTATTCACCAAAGGCAGAGTCTAGTTCATGAAAGCAAGCTCAACATCATCCTTTGCTCGCACTACCAAGTACCAACCATAAGAGATCACCTCAGAAGTGAGAATTTACACAAGGACCAAGGACTTAAATTTTCAAAAGAAATCCACCTCCACTTATTCCCACAGTAATAGATCCTGCGCAAGGAGCAAACAGGGCATAATGATAAGTAACATCAAGGTAAATATTACCTTATTAAGAAAATAGTATACTTCTTCCGAACAATAAACAAAAAGCAGTAAGAACCCAACAAAAAGAGCAACACCAGCAGACAACTGCTATAGTTGATACGATCCAAAAACATCCAATAAAATGTTTGGAGGATATTCCAAGCCAAGCCATCATAAATTTATACCAACCATAGGTCATTTTCCAACATACAAACCACTAGGTCCATATCAGTACTTCAGCCGAAGACCAAAAATGAGTCTTTTCTTGCTAATCACATGAATATTTACGGTTTGGCCGTAGTTCCATTTGTTTATTAGTTTTCTTTTCTTTTCTTTTAGAGGGGGGTCAATCTTTCACCATAACATCAATTATGACGGACGTAATAACACGATTAAAAAAGGGGTCCATCTAAAGATGAAAGACAACAACAAAATTCCATGGAGCTGAGAATAATTTGTTAGCGGACAGGAGTCAGTAAAAAGAACCCTCGTTCAACAAACAGTCGCACACAAGTCAGACCCCATAACGAGATGAAGCTTTCCATACAGAAATGCACCATCAGAAACAAAGAAAGCACCGGAGAACGATACAAGAAATTGGAGCCTAATCAAATCATAAACATCAAACAGTAACAACAGTGCAAAATCACTGCACCACCAATCAATCAATTCACCTAACCGAGTAAATAAGCAAAACGAAATAAATTTCTCCAAAATTGAAAACAATTACATGATTTCATAACAAAATAGTTTCTTACAAATCACCGAGGATGAAATAAGTGGAATCGGGAAGCTTTTTTTTTCCTTTTCCCCTCGTTAATCTGGCAGGTGAGAGCTTTTGCGGGGAATGTATTTTTGGGTAAATTTTATAGGGTATATATATGCTGTTGAATATAGAAATGTCGGAAATGAGATTTTGGTAAAGAAGATTTTTTATTAGTGCCACCCTTTTTAGCTTCTTCTTTTTTGAGGGTAGACTTTATACTTTTGTTTCGAAGGTGATGATATTACCATCTATATCTATATATATCACTGTTCTAAAAATCGGCTTAGGCGGTGTTCGGGCGCTTACGATTTGTACAAATCGGCAGAAAAAATCGGTCAGGCGGCTAAGCGGCCCTAGGCGCTCCTAAGCGGCCTTGGCGGGCTCGGCGGCCAGGCGGTTAGGCGGCGTCTAGGCGGGCGTAGGCGGACCTAGACGCTCCTAGGCGGGGTCGGCAGCAATTTTTTATTTTTTTTTTTATTTTTTTAAATGCTAATTACATTATTTTGTTCTCATGTTTTCTTTAATATATATTAATATTATTATTTGGACTTTGATGTATGAATTTATTATATGTTGAGATAATTTTATTTTGTAGGTAGTTAAAATAAATAAAAAATAAGGTATTTACTACGCTCTAGGCGCTAGGCACTGGTCGAGCGCCTAGCGGGCGCCTAGCAACTATTAGAACACTGATATATATATAATAAGAATTAACATTTTTAAAAAATAGTAAGCAAAAAAATAGGGAATATTAATTGCATTCCATTTTTGGTATGTTTTTTTAATTTTTTTAATAAAAAATCAAGTAGCATTTAATGCTAGCATAAATCATGAAATTTGTTATATAGATGCATATTTACATTTCAAACTTCAAACAAAACATGCCTAAATGTATTTTGAATTTTTTAGGGGAAAATTTAACAAACACGTTAAATATATTTATATATATTATCTTAACATATAGGTTAATTAGTTTCATATTTAAACAATATATATTTAAACAATATATAAACAAATATAATAATTTGTCGTACAATACAGAAAAATATATAAACAATATATTTATATACAAATATAATAAACAATGCAAACAATATATAAACAAATATAATAACTTGTCACATGTATATTTCGTACAATATATATATTTATATATAGTTTCTTAACATATAAGTTAATTAGTTTCATATCTAAACAATATATATTTTAGGAACTTAAAGATTCATAACATTACTGACGTCATGTATATTTATAATATATTGTCACGTACATTTTACTACAATTGGTAACTTTTTTAAAATTATTTGAATAACTGGAGGTTGATTTGTAATTTGAATTTCAAATTCATTCAAACATTTAAAGAAAAATATCATAAGCAGATTTTTTTGATACATTTCATTTTATCTCAACTTACATATAATCATTTTCGAATGATTTGTTTCTCATAACATCGGACATAATTAATAATTGCATAGAATTTAATTATGATTTCGAATTTATATCAAGGATGTTTAATAATTGCATAGAATTTCAAAAATGTTTATTTATTATAAAAAAATTAAATTCTAAAAAAATATTTGTGTATATTTTGTAAAATGTTTGTACAAAATGTTTTACTTTAAATTTATTTACATAATTTAAATTAATACATTAATAAATAATATGAACATACATTAAATATTTTAATTATATAAAACAAAAAGAAGAAGAAGAGTACATCTATAACTTGCATAAATAATAATAATAATGAAATTATATTACAATAAATTTTATAATAAAATAATATGAATATTATACGAGGAACAAGATTACGTAAAATTGTTATTTTTCTTATATCAAGGAATAAATATATATATATATAATGAAATCAAATTTATATTATTATAAACATGTGAGCGAGATAATATATTAATTAATTTACGGGCTTGCGCTACCAGACTCAGGTTTAATATTCCGACAAAAAAAAATGACGTTGATGAAAAGATGTAAAAAGATAGATGATCAAACTCTATTATTTTTTAGGCCTGAACGGACAAGCCCTATGGTTCACTCATTTAATATCTCCCGTGAATCGCACGAGCTACTTAACGGACAAGCTCTGTGAAAATGACTCATTTAATATTTATGTCACGTGCATTGCACGGACAACGTACTAATTTATGTGAGACATACTTTGTTAATTTATCAATTTTTTTTAATGTATACTTATATTGTTATTTTAGAGCATGGCATTTATATCCTAAATAAATAAATATTTTGTTGGAAAAATATGATCTTTTATATTTTTATTGAAACTAAATAGAGTGCATACTGTATTACACGGCTGCTAATAAAAATCTATGCCTAAAATTAAGAAACAAATAAAAGAAAATATTTTATTTAAGTTTCAAATAAATTTTGAAAATTTGTTACTCTCCTTTTTTTCTGGTCAAAATAATATATTCTATTAATATTCACAGGTATTTACAACCTAAAAACAATTAGGAACAACCGAATCAAACAACTATACAACTGAATCTAGTTGCAGGTCTACGTGAAGTAACATATATTTGACAACACTAACACAAACACAACAAAAATACTACAATACTCTCACAAATAGAAATATGAACTCCTGAATAAGAGAATAAAAACCACAAAACAAAGACAAACACACAAATAAACAAACTATACAAGGGATAGAACATGGCAATTATAAAATAAAAGAAAGTCTTTCCCATCTACCGTCAAGCTACTTCAAAACATATCCATTATATTGAGTATTAATAAAATATTTAGACAATTTAGAACATTCAAATGCCTAAATTAATTGATAGATAATTTATACATATTAATTATATTAAGTATTATATTTATTTATATTAGAAATGCCTTTTTATTTATATATAAAAAAGCCTCAGTATGTTTAACCGGTCCAACAGACCGGTTTTGACCGATTCAACTGATTCAGAGTTTTTCCAGCGAATCGGACCGATCAACATACCAGCTCTTGGTCAAACTAGTTGGATCAGAGCCTGATTTTAAAAACAGTGGTATTTATCAATCAAATAAATACATTAATCTATAATAACATATTATTTGATATGAATTAAAAAATACTAGTAAACGATTAAATCATACGAATTACGTGTGTTATTTTAAATAAGAACAATAATACAAATTTTTAAGAAATACTTAAAATAAAATTTCATTTTATTTTACTTATTTTTTAAAATATAATTTTTTAGTTAACAAATTTAAATTATATTAGTAATGTACGGCAACTAGTAAATATAAACACTTTTGATTTAACAATTATAGAATTTACAAAGATAAAATTTTTATTGTACAAAGACTTATTTTTTAGTAGTCTATAATTTTTTCCAAAAAGTATTTATATGAGGTATTTTTTTTAATAAATTTATATTCACAATTTTAAAATTTCATCAAATGGGTCAACTATTAAGGGGTATACAAATTTATCAAATAAACTTTCACCAATCACTTTTTTAATTCAAAATTTAACTCAACTTCACTCTACTCAATATTATCAATACAATTAAATAATTAAATCAATAATTTTCACACACCACATTAATTTTAATTCACTATTTATCAACTTATATAATTATAGCTAATCACTATTTTCAACCACTTCTATGTTACTTTTACATCAAATCAATTTTAAACATTTTATTTTAAATACTATTTTAATACAAACTCAAAATTGCACTCAAACCTAACTCAATAAAATTCTTTAAAATTAACTCTACTCAAACAAATATAGGGGTGTATTCGTTTGAGATTTCGAATGACCTTTTGAGATTTGAGACTTTTTTAAATTTTCAGATTTTGGAGGAATCCTATGAGATCGTAAGTTTGGAGGTGGGATTTTAAGTGAGATTTCGTATAAGGGTTTTCTTTAGAAACCCATAAAATCTTAAAAACTCTTAACAAAATATAGTTTCAAATAAGTTAAATATCACATGATTTTGTAAGACTTTTTAAATCCCCAAATGAATATTCCAAGATTTTTTAAAATTTTAAAAAGTCTAAATTAAATACACTATGATTTATAAAGTCTTAAAAAGTCTTTATAAACCCAATTAATTACACCCATTAGAAAAGTCTTTAGAAATACACCCCCTCGAGCATCCACAATGATTTAGGTCCACTCAAAAAATATAAAGACTAATACGTAGGAAATAGACTCAATCTACAAAAATATATACTCGAATGCAAGTGCAAGACCCAATCTAAAAAAATACATACTCGAATGCAAGTGCAGATAGACTAGGTCATGTTTATGTGACAACAAGAAAAAGAGATTCGGTCTACTCTTAAGTTTATTTATTTTAGACCAAGTAGAGATCTAATCTCTTTGCATTGGAGTCAAATTTATTTTATTTTAGACCAAGTAGAGATCTAATCTCTTTGCATTGGAGTCAAATTTATTAGTTTATATATTTTTATCCATTTCATCAAAGCCTCAAGTCTATTTTTACTTTTATATATTTTTGTCCAACTTAATAAGTACTCACCCTTGCAAAAATTAAGAGCGCATTACTATGCAAATGGTGTGGCTCTCGAGTCGTCTGGTGTCTACTTTCTTCACCGTCCATGACTACCAGCTCTCGCTAAAAAAAAAAAAAACCCCTAAACTTGTTCGAATCGACCAAATGAATGTGGCTTACGCAAGTTTTTCTTCGTATAATCAAACATTTACCAGAAGATAAAGATGGCTGACTTTCGCAGGTAACTTAATTTCGATTTTGTGCTTTTCAACAGCTTCCGGTTTCTCTAATTTGATTTTGTCACTGGCCTTTGATTTCTTGAGTAAGTTCGGATGAAATTTTACCTTCATGTAATTTCCGAAATTCGTAGTGTATGTGAATTTGGCTGTGATCTTTAGTTTGATTAATACGTCCGTTTTTCTAGTTTCCTTCAAGTGATAAACACAGAACTTATTTGCGCCCTTAGTGATAATTTCTCGTTTGAAATAAAAAATTTGAAGTGGTGAGCTGCAGACCTACTTCGTTCAGTGAACTAGATGAAGATTTTATAGATATGTTGAAATTTGGGTGAGTTATTTGAAGGGTCGTAGCGTGCAAGCAGCTACTTCCATGTAGAGGGAAAATACACAATTTTTAAATTCTTGTGTTGATGGATTGAAAAAAAATCGTTTTTCGCACAGTGCTTCCTTAATTTCTATATCTGTTACCCACAATGTTAATAATCTGTATTTTCTTTCTTGATACCTGATAAACATTTTATATTTATGATTACACTGGTGAACTAATTTTGAAGTTCTTATTTCATTAGCTAGTCGATGTTGATGCCTGTCATCACACTGGTTACGCAATATTCAAGGGTGCTGTTTGTTGTCAGTAACCGTAAATAAAGTTGAAGATTTATTTACCCTCAAATCTGGACTGGAAGATCTTGGGCTAATGGATTGGTCTGAAAAGCATTTATGCATAAAATGCGATCAAGGCGGGAATCTGTTGGTGTGCAGTGAAAATGGCTGCCCTCTAGCTATTCATGAAGGATGTATGGGCTTCCCAGCTAGATTTAATGATGCCGGCCACTTCTATTGCCCCTATTGTTTATACAAACAAGCTGTTGCAGAGTCACGTCAGGCAAGGGAATATGCTCTGGCAAGAAAGAAAGCCTTATTGGCCTTTATGGATGAGGACGTGGTAGGCAGAGAAAAGCCCTCGGAATCAAACAAGGGAGCTGAAGCTAATGGGAATAATTATTCAAAAGACAGTGAACCAAACGTAAATGTTACAGCATGCGGTGGTGATAAAATATCTGGGAACAGTGATTCCATTAGGGAACAATCAATTCACCTTGGCGAGGAAGATGAAATCCGAGGCGAAGAAGATGGAAAGAGTCAAGAAGAGGATATTGAAGCTTCCGCTGGCCCCAAAGATCAAGAACCTTCAGTTCAGATGCCCGGGGAACAAAATATCTGCAATGGAAAAGAAATTGAAGCTTTTGCTGGCCCCAAAGATCAAGAACCTTCAGTTCAGATGCCCGGGGAACAAAATATCTGCACTGGAAAAGAAATTGAAGATGAGGAACATGAAGTTTCTGCAGCTTCCAGTAGTCAAGAAAAAGGGCTCCGAAATGCAGAAGAAGAAAAGAATGTGGAAGAAGAATGTGAGACTTCATACGGATATAGTGATCAAGACTCACTTCCTTTTAAGGAAAGAGCCAAGAGAGCATTAAAAAGTAGAAAATCAATAGGCCCGTATTCTGAAACTGTATCGGTGAAAAGTAAGCCTGATGAACAAAATGATAAAAATAGGCAAACATCGCCAAATATGAACACTCCAAGGAGATCTTCAAGGAGGGCGTCTTCTGCTTCGAGAGCGAAAGAAGCTATAAATAAAACGATTGAGGTTTCGAAAGGGTTGAAACAACCTGGAAAAGTTGATGTTTCGAAAAGGCTGAAAAAACCTGAACTGCCCATTATGAAACTGTAAGTGCTTATCGTAATAAATGATGTTTGAGCTTTGAAATATTCCTCCTTTCTTTCTGTTTGACTTTGTTGTGGATGGGCATGGAATCTCTTGCATAACTAATGACACAATTGGCAGTGGGAAACGTAAGAGATTAGTATGGAGTGAGGAAGAAGAGGAGATGCTCAAGGTAAAATTTATTAACTCAACTGATTCTCTATCTGTTGTTCGGTATTCATGTACTGGTAATATCTTAAATTCTACTCTTCAAATAAGTTCTACTAGTTGTTTATTTGTAAAACACAAATTTGTTAGTGATTCCTTTGTAATTTAAACCGTCATTCAATTTAGTAGCAGCTCTTTATTGGAAATCACTAGCTTGTACTTGTAAACTTAACTTTCTCTCGGCTCGACTTGTTGCAGGCAGGAGTAGACAAACATTTGAAGGGGCCAAGCAAAAATATTCCTTGGAAAGAAATCTTGGAGATGGGTCGCAATGTGTTCGATAGAACTCGTACTCCATGTGATCTTAAGTATAAATGGAAGAACATGTCCAGGCATATGAATTGAGCTCTGGAACAGCTTATTTCTTTTGCAATGCCGAACTTGATGGCAGAAGTAAGATATAATAATTAGAGGTGGGTGAAAGTCTATCGATATGATGGATAGATCTTCTATCTCTTTTTTGTATAACGACGTTTGCTATCTACAGTTAGCGATTTACATTTTTAACTAGGTTGTCCATCCATTGGTGTGGTCAAGATTTTCCCCTTAAACCCCTCGTGTAAATGTTCTTTCACAAACACCAACCTACCAATGGATAGCTTTTAGTTTTTCACTGATAAACTACTTCACTTGTCGCAGTTTATGAACATTAACAATGTCTGGCAATTAGCTCACAGAAATATTATCATCTGTGGTAATTGTGCGGATGCCATAACGGTACCTATCCAGAATTCTATGTATTACATTGTGGAAGTAAGGATATACTGCATGTACTTCCCTAACTGAGATAGGGGTCACAGCCGGCAGCGAAAGCCAAGGCTGAGGACAAAATTGGCATACGGCAGATCAAATGTCTGATGAGTATATGTGTTGAACTGATTACCACGAAAAGAAAACATTATAAGAGAAATATTATCGTGGGAGTGAATGTTAAAAGATCATACATCTTGTAGCTACCCTTTTCTATGGACTTTATTGGCTATATTAATAGTATGTTTTTCATTGAACTTTCCTGTTTTGTCCCTTTGCATCATACGATTGATGTCTTCATCAGCTTCTTTGAGTTAATTGTGTGGTGAAGCATCGGCATTCATGACTAAAATCAGTGGAGAATGATTAGAGGGTAAATCGTACGTTTCCACCTTACAGTAGCTATATAAATTCTTTGCCATTTCCATTTTTTCTTCAAGTTGTAGTTTATTGCTATTCACTGGTTAAATCATCGTTAAGGCTACAGAGACGAAAAACTTAGGCCCACGAGACTACGAGCAAGTCACATAGATCAATAGTGATTTCTCTCCTATGTTGGGAGTTGAGATTATTGCGTCCTATATTCTATTCCAGATTAGTAAGCTTTTGCAAGTCTCAGAATTTCTTTCATTTCCAGAAGACAATAAACAGTATTACTCATACTGTAAGTTCACTGGCAAAGTTTCTTGCATTTTCCTGCAAATGAAACAATTATGACTTGAACTCTTGAAGATCCACAGATCACTTCATTTTTATATTGAAGATGACGGGGCTCAAAATCCCATGGCTTCTTAATATTACTAGTATGATGGGGTCATGCATAGTCTCAGGAGGAGAAAACCATACCCCAGTATTACGTATCACAGAGAACACCACACAAATGTTGNAAAAAAGAAGAAGAAAACGACCGTCATATCTTCCCATGAAAATCCGCAGCCACAAAGAGTCAATTTTTGAAGCTCCAGGGGCAATCTTTGACAAGTAGGCTCAAAAATTTTAAAAGTTCTAAAAAGAAAATAAATTTCTTAAAAAAATTTAAATTTATTTGTAGTGGAGATGTTTAACAGCTAAACGAATGAATGTTCATTTCGGTTCATTAAGGTACAAAGAGCTCTTCCATCATATGTAATACCAAAATTATCCTCGAGAGCATAGTCACTTCTAAAAACTCTAACACCAGTTGAACTCATCCGGTAACGAGTACAAAGAACACACACTAAAGCTACCTGCTTTCTAAATCACGGTTTCGCTTGGAATTAAAGCATCCTTAATTACGGTCACGATACCGCTCTTGATGAAGTATCCGTCTGTCTCTCTTGCTGCTTCTTGAACGTTGTCAATGTTAATTATCTGTAACATATTAAAAGGATTTATTTTTAGAGGTTTAGCAATTCGTATTTTATTTTCTTCATTAAGAAACCACCAGTGTGCAATAGCTCTGTTAACATTTGTAGATAAATAACCAACAGATAAAGTTAACAACCTTCACATTCTCTCCAATTCTGGCGTTTTTGTCAATAATGGCTCTCTTGATGTGAGTGTTTCTACCAATGCCAATGGGTAACTCACCTTTCTCTGCCAGGTACTTTCTGTCTGCATCAGTCTGTATGTGGAAAAAAAAATAAAAAATCATCATTTTCAAAAGCAACAATGTAAAGTAGCTAATTAAAAGGCAATCTCGTTATGTGAAGCTATACAAATTGAATTATCTGCTGTTTGATTCTGCAGGGAGCTACTATTACCTCATAATAATCGGCACCCATCAACAAGGAGTCCTCAATGACTGCACCCTCTGATATACAGGATCTAAGTCCAACCACAGAATGGTGGATTTTACAATTCTACACGGACAAGCATGACAGAATTAGATAATCTATATCTAAAACACAGTTTCCATTATTTTTTACTGAGGAATTGTGTGTGCTACCCTGCAAATTATGATAAATAGAGATGCATGGTGGCAAAATTTCTAGCAGAAAAAATAATTTCATTTAAACCATATATAAAAGCTGTCTATACAGTTTGAGTAAAGCAACTTTCAGACTTTTAAGCTTTATGCCCATTCATGATAGCTTTGATGACTCACCTTGATCACACATCCCTCACCAATGACACTATCCGTGACATCAGCATCAAGCATCTTAGAAGGAGGCAAGTATCGAGGTTGGGTATAGATTGGAGCTGATCTATCATAGAAGCTGCAAGAGATAATTGCAAACATATCAAGATGTTCTATATATATGAGGTAGATCAAGTGTAAGACAAACAAAACAAGATAAAGAATGACTTACCTAAAGTCTGGGACCGGCTTTTTTGTGATTCCAAGATTGGCATTGTAGAAAGCTTCAATGGTACCGATATCTTCCCAGTAGCCGTCAAACAAGTAAGCTTGCACCTGTACGCAGAAAATATGAAAATTTTCTCCGGAAATGTAGAGATAATGAAGAAAGTCATCGAAGTCCACTAGTCAACCCCCTTCAAAATAAGCACTAGACACTGCCCAAAAACATAACAGTAGAGCAAAGCACAATACAAATACTATACACTACAAAGCATATAGGCCTTTTGTCGTACTAGATAATTGAGTAGAAATGTGAGACTAATTGTTCTGCATGAATGCTATAATAACGAAAACGACTACTGGGATAAATTTCGGACAGTAACGCACTCTTAATCCCTTGGAAGTAGCTCCAGGAATAACTTCACTCCCAAAGTCATTGGCTGCAGGAAACTCATCCCTTAGCAGATTCAACATCACATCTTTGCTAACAACATATATTCCCATACTCGCAATGTAAGGCATCTCCTTGGCTCTCTCATCATCAAGACCCAATATGGTAGTATCGACCTTGGGAAAGGAACCGAGGGGACAAAAAAAATTAGATGCACATCGTTAAACTAAATTCTATAATGTATGTTCTATTTAGCACATTCACCTTCATAGCTTTCAGTTGTTCTCCCTTTGGTTTCTCGGCAAATTCAATGATTCGTCCTTCTTCGTCAATTTTCATCAGACCAAATGCCGTAGCCCGCTTTTCGTCCATGGGCAAGGCGGCCACAGTAATGTCGGCATCTGTTTCTCTATGGGCTTGAATGAACTTCTCATAGTCCATTCTGTACAAATGATCACCAGCAAGAATTAAGTACTCGAGAACATTGTGCTCCTCAAACAACCATAGATACTGCCTCACTGCATCTGCTGTTCCCTAAACATAATATATGAATTCGTCAGAACTGAAAGACAAAGCAAATGAAAGTAAAAAGGACACCTTTTGGATTGGCCATAATACACATTTTTAGTCCAAAGAAAAGCAGCTTGCAGCCTATGGCTGTATGTATGAGATGAGCTGTAAACAGTAAAAAAAAGGGTACATTAATGAGTACCTGGAACCAATTGGGATTTTCCGGACTTTGCTGAGCTGCGAGAACCTCAACAAAACCTTCATTCTTGTAACCTCCCATGTTGCTAGCGTACGCCCTCGAAAGGTGACGATTAAGGGATGCTGAATTGAATTGGGTTAAGACATAGATCTTGGAAATGTTACTGTTCAAGCAATTGCTCACGGGAATATCAATTAGCCTGTAATTTGCTCCAAGAGGAACAGCTGGCTTTGCTCTCTTCTTTGTAAGAGGATAAAGTCGAGTACCAGCTCCACCTCCAAGAATAATACCCAAGACACTCTGAAAATTACCAGAATGATCATTTAATCAATGCTGTGGCATGTATACGCAAAATCAATGCTGTGGCATGACTACACGCAAAAGCAAAGGTAATACCCAAGACACTCTGAAAATTACCATCATAAGATACTTTTATGTACTGGATTACAGATGAATGATTTGTATATATGCATCAAGACATGTTTTCCTTTTCGAACCACTGCAGAGCACGTCTTCCAGGTGTGGTTAATTTGAAGCGAACATATACATGAACTTGGCAAAAGAGTTCTCTTGCTAGAAAGCAAGAAAATAGTTTTTAATCTAAAGGCAAAAATTAAAATAATCAGACTACATGTGTTGCACGCCACTTCATCTGAGTGCCATACAATCTAAATGTCGCATACCGAGAGATAAAATCGTGGATCCCAATGTAACTTCAAATACATAAAAATTCAACAAACTCAGATCTCCACAATCGTGCTCTCTCTTCCTTTGATAAGAAACTTATGCACACAGACCTCCCACACCAGAAACATCAATTGAAAAAGTTAAGGAAAAAGCAAAGACAATAACCAAAAGAACATCAAATTCGCACACAATCAGTTGGTTCTGTACGGAAAAGCAAGCAAATTGAACAGATTAACGGAAAAGCTCAAACTTCAGATACACATAAACTGAAATGTATCAGTGAGACCACTTTTCTGCAAGCATTGTCTCTTAAAGATTAACAGATAATACAAAACGAACAGGAAAAGAAAAGGCAAAATTAAGATGGGTTATGTACTCTGCTGGCGTCAGGATCAAGGCAGGTTTGAGAATTCTGGGAGTCGGACACCGCCTTCGGTGATACGATCATCGGACTCCGGCGTCCCAATTTACCACCTAAACGACGCCGTCGCAGCCCAAGTAGCGCTGGCGGCGCGATGCTCTTGCCGGCGACGGAAGCCGCGAAAGAGAGGTGCCTGGAGGACGACGACTTCACAAATTCCTCATAATTACAGTTTCTGGCGGCGGTCGGGTTGGAGGAAAGCTTGAAAACTGCGGTGGCAGCCATTGCCATGCGAATTTCTTTCGTTGCTCACTGCTCAGTGAGTGACGGAGCGAGAGAGGTTGTTAGGTGAATGAGCTGAGGTTCAGCTGATGACTGACGACTGTGATATTTATGGATGTAAAAATATAAAATTTGTAATGAAAAAGTCAATCAATAATGGAAGGAGGTTTCTAGCGAAACAATTTAGGCAATTCAGTTGTTTGGCACGATAAGAAAAGTAAAAAATAGTAACTTCATAAACAATTTAGGCAATTCACTGTTATACGCATAAAATAAAAAATTATATACATTATATATATGTTAAACATAAGTATATTATAATTAAGAAACTAGGATGGTAGTTAACATAATTGAACTCCATATTTTTATTTTTACTCATATGAAACATCGCAAATTCTTGCATGAGATAATCTAACAATGAGACAACTTGACCGTCATATTTTTTTAAGCAATAATATCTACTTAAACTAAGAAATGTAATACTTTTATTTATATTATTTTTTAAAATATATTATTTGTGTTTAAAATTCTATATATGTGCTAATGAAGTGTTTACCAGGTCTAAACAAAAGACTTACATTTGAACTAACACTACAATCATTAATTCACATATTGTTAAAAACCAATAAGTTTCAAAGCCTTAACATTGAAAATTCTCTAAAACTATGCCGTGATCACTTTTCTTTTAAGTGCTTCAATTAGTCCCCATAACATTTAAGAACCAAAAAATGAATGCAAAGGGAGAGTTACCCCAATGCAGCAAGTAACCCAATCAGAGGATCTACCGGTCCAACATTTAACTGAGCAAATTTGTGAAATTTGATTACCAAACACAAATAGAGAGAGACAGCCTTTACAAATTACTGTGATTGGAGGACAATCCATGTGATGAAGGCCGAATTTGGGCAAATTGGTTGATAAAAATGTGTGTGTTGGGTTATCAAATTGGAAGCTTGTTAATGGTGGTCATTTTCAAGACTATTGGACAAATGTTGTCACAGGGGACATGTGATGGTGATAAAAAGAAATATTTCCGGAGGTATTGATTTTACACCGTTGGACTATTTCTTTCGTCATTTTCCTATTATATTTTTTCTGCACTTATTACTTGGAGGAGTTGGTTCCATTGATTGAGTGCACAAGACGACAAACCTAACTCTGTAGATAAGGGGGTGATTGGACATAAATGTAAGAAAAATTAGTTTTGTACTTATTTTTCGGTTCCATTTTTTATAAGTGGAAGACTTAGAAAATTCCCAAAACCATTTTAAGGTGAATGGAAAATTAATTCTAAATTGTATATGTGGAAAATGTAAGGTTGAAGCAATGAATTTAAGTAACTCAAATTATTGGATTCGTAAAACATTCTGTTTTTTTACGAATGCTAGGATAATTCAAACGACACCTGATCATGCAGCTTGCATGCTATAAATCTAGAGGATTCATTGGGGACGAATAGGAAAAAACAGAACTCGATTCCGAGTCTGTATGAGCTCGTACGAGCCCGCGGCGCACGAGCGTGCAGTTGGCTGCAGACACAGAAAGGTCGTAAGCCTTGGTGATTATAAGGTGTCTTTTGGCATCTAAATGCTTCCGTTCTCGTTTGGTTATGTCCCAAAAGGCGTCTTTTGACACTTACACCTCTTGGAGGTGTTTTTCTACATCTATAGGTACCCACATAATTGAAATCATTCACAACTTGAAAAATTAGAGAGCTCTTGCATTACATTTTCAAAGTTCATAAAACATATTGTATTCTTTGATTTTTTTTGTTGAGTCTTAAGAGTTCTAAATAATTGTTCGATGAAGGCTTGTATATTTGAAGTACCGCTATATACAAGTCGAAAGTCGTTCTATCTTGGCGTTTGTTGTTAACCGTAGATATTTTACGGGGCAATTTCGTCTTAAGGAGAACATAATTATTACCTGTCTCGACTTTGATTTTTGCTTCATTTTCTTCATTCTCCTTAAGCCATCTTTTTTTATATTCACAAACCACACTAACTACAATTATTATTATCACTAATAAATTCACAACTTCAAGACTGTAATAAACTGAAAAAGGATTATCTTTGCACGGTTCAAAAGAGCACAAAACGGAAAAAACGGATTGGCTTACACCTTTACTCATAGTTCTTGAAGAAAAAAAAGTTCCAATTCAGCCGAAAAATATCTATCTGCTTCGCAGACGCAACAAGAAATCTATTGCACTCCATATAATTCGTGCAGCGTGTTAGTCCACGTGAAATGAATAAAACCAGAATTAAAACAGACCACTTAAAACCCAATTGGCTCCAAATGCAAACAATATCAGAACAATTTCTATGTTTGTTTCACCACAATCGGACTTCTCACATAGTGCCGACCATCAGACCAAATCAGCTGCCCAAAAGCATAATCCTTGCTACCACCACTTTGCCTTCTAGCATTTACTCTAACCTTAAAACCCTTCTCTTCCCCAACTTTTTCAAACCTCAACATGTCGGGCTCGATTTTAACCGACACTCCACGCGGGCTACGAACTCGGGCTTTGTAAATACCCGGCGGCCCAACATTTTTAACCTTCCTGCTCACAGTAACCGAGCCATTGAGGTTAGGAATTGTAATCGAGGGGTAGTTCAAGTTGACGAGGCTGATTGGCCGTGGACACGTGTAGGGTTCTTTAGTGAACAGCTGGATTTGAGTTTTGTTATATCCGAGGGCACACAAGAAGCTCAAGTAATCGGATGTCGACAAGTCGTACACGAGCCCCGGGTCCATGGCTCGGTTGGGCTGAACGTGGCCTGCTCCGTAATTGAAAGGGGTAGCTTTCGAGTAGGATGCAGTTTCCACTGGCTTCAATGTATTGTCCCGCGTCCTTGCTGAAATATAAATAAATAAATAGAATAGATGTTAGAGCAAAAATTATATAAATGCATACATAAGGTGATAAGGGTTGTAAACGAATCGATTCGGATTCTTTAAAATATTCGAAGATTCGAATTCGTATTCGATTTGTAAACGAATTCATTTTTTGATTCGTATTCGATTCGTTTAGAATATTCGAACATATTCGATTTGGTTCGAAATTCGTTTTCAGAAAAATATCATAACTAAAAAGAAGAAGATTATAATTACAAAAATATTGTTTATATTTTTCCATTCCAATTTGAGATGTTTTTAGGGCAAATTGCTAATTTGAGATATTTTTCTTTTTATATCATAAAAATATTAGGAATATAACAATAAATATATATATATATATATATATATATTATAACAAATTTTGTACTATATATAATTTATAAAAATTTATAAAATTATATAATTATAGTTAACAAATCGAATAATTGATAATTTCGAATCGAATATCTACACATTCGGATTCGGATTCGTTTAACTATTATTCGTATTCGAATCAAGAATATCGAATCGAATCAGAAAAATTCGCTTTGTTTACAAGTCTACATACCAGTGGTCATGATGGCGGACTTAATGGCAGCAGGGCTCCAATTCGGGTGAAGGGTCTTCAATAGGCCGACAATACCAGAAACGTGCGGGCATGACATTGAAGTGCCCGACACAGAATTAAACTCGACACGTCGAGTGTCGAAGTCTTGATTTGTTGGTCCTTGTGCTTCGGTATATGCAGCTATGATGCTTACTCCTGGTGCCGTGATATCCGGCTGAAAAAAAACGAATAAAGAATTGTTGAATAAGTAAAAATCTAAATGCTAGATGGCTAGTTTATTTTTCTTACAAAAATTTAGTAGTAGCATTAGAAGATACCTTTAGAATCTCAGGTGTAATGGTATTTGGTCCTACGGAGGAAAAAGCCGCCATGAAAGGAGCAGGCTTCGTGCCTAATTGAGTCGTGGGTTTGGTTATACGAGCCACAGGAGACCTATAGAGCATAAAAAAATTCAAGAAATTTAATTTGACGAAAATGAAGCATAAAAAAGTTGAAAGAACTAGTCTTGATTCAAATTTTCGAACCTTGCGGAGCTAATGTAAGAGAAAAGAGCAAGCCCGTCTGTGTAATTGATTTGTGAAGCGGGTAAAACGTGGGGGTCAGCTAAGATCTCGTTCCCAGAGGCTTTGTTGTTTGCTAAAACCATTCCTACAGCGCCAGCTAAAGCAGCTTGCTCGCCTTTGTCCACCCTGGCATTCTCTCCCCTTAGGCACACCAAGATTTTCCCTTTCACCTTATTAGGGTCGAGAGTTCCGGGTTTACAGAGCTCCCTGCATTTTATACAGATCCAGTTTTACTTCATTAGAATCAAGCCTTCACATCGAAATAAACACACGATTTTCTAATGAAATAATATAAGTAAAAAGAAATGCGACTCTAAACCACTTCGATAAGAGAAGTGCTACTGTGCTTACGCTTGTTCAGCTGTTGCATTAGCAGCTGTGGCATTTCTAGCAGATATTACAGGGTATGTCTTCTTTCTTGGTAATGATTTCGCTGAGAGGCTTTCTCCCTGCCGAACAATAACAGAATTATTACCTTTTGTGAAATTTCCTTTACATAAGCACAATGTTATTTGATAGTGTGTATAGTGTGTTTGTATAGGCACTAGTACATGGAAAAAAACATGCTTCACATAGGGAAAAAGAAAAGAAGTTACATTCACAAGCTAGGAACATATGTCTACTGTGCAGTTTCTACTCACATGGTTAATTGGAAAAACCAGAAAATGTCAGTGCCCAAAAGTTTGAAATGAGACCTCATAATCACAGAAGCCAGCAGCAATGTAATCATACAACAAGTAGGTACACAAATGTTAAGTCAGTTGGTCCAAGAAGCCATTTTTACCAAAAAAAAAATAAAACCAGTCCTAATTTCCAGAAGCAACCCTTTTCAGCATCACAAATAATAACCTAACACAACCTTACACAAAACTACAAAGAATAATTTTTTTTACCTTAAACTGCACTTTATTCCCAAGGACCACATAACTCGGAAATTGCCGGTCCATGGTACTCGCCCCCACAGTAATCTGCCACGGCGCAAGATTCGAAACCGTACCCAATCCTGGCCCCGAATTCCCAGCCGAACAAACAACCACTATCCCTCGTCTCACAGCATGAAACGAGCCAATCGCAACACTGTCATTATGAAACGGGACAGGATCTCCACCGAGTGAGACAGAGAGCACGTGGACCCCATCATGGATGGCCATGTCGAAAGCCGCCAATATGTCGGCATCAAAGCACTCGTTGCCGCCGACAGGTGTCCAGCAGACCTTGTATGCCGCCACACGGGCCCCAGGGGACCCGCCTTTGGCAGTGCCATTGCCGAAGCCAAAGACGCTGGCATTCGGGACGAAGCTGCCGCCAGCTGTCGACAGGGTGTGCGAGCCGTGGCCCTCGGTGTCACGTGGGGTTTGAAAGGTGGAGTTGAGGGGGCCCGCGACCGAGCTGTAGCCCTTGTTGAAGTAGCGGGCCCCGATGAGCTTCCTTCACATTGTTAGACATTTCAGTAATCCACTCATCAGAAAGTCCAATTTTGGACAAGTGATATAATGACTTTTTTGAGATGCCCATTGTAGAAAAAGTCCAATTTTTTGACAAAGTTAACTGAGAAATTTGTAGCTCCACATGTTTGCCTTAAATTAAGGATAAGGGTGGATTAATGTAGTTTGCTTGCCTATCTACTTGGGGTTTTTCTCTTCCTTGTTTTCTTTTATTTGAAAACTGAAACAGTAATTGATCAAGACTTGTTTGTTGGGTCAATTTTAAATTTTCAAGAAAGTCTTGTAAGGCTACAAGTCTCAGAAAGCCTGCAGTGAATATTGTTGATGGTGTCTGAAAAAAAAAAAGCTCCAACTTAATAGGAGTCAACTACTGATAAGGTGCAACAATGAAGTATACAGGTGAATATATAGAACCTGTTGCAATGAAAGCTGGGGTCCAAATCATTTTGACAAATTCCTTTCCAATGTGAAGGAATCGGCCCGAATCCTTCATCACTAAAGCTTTTCGACTCCGGCCACACACCTGTTTGCAATCACATTACACATGAGAAAGAAAGGTCCTAGCACAACAGTAGTGAAGTTAAAGTCAGACCTAGGGAGACACGAAAATAATGACATGATTTATTTAATTAAACCAAATTATCTCGATAATCAACTCTTTCGACTTATTTTAATCCATAATCTATTCCCCGGTCACAATTACCAAAATAGAAGTCGAAAGCCGGGTAGGTAGCTAGCTAGCTAGCATCTCCATGAAATGTGGCCATGTGGGGGAGCCATTAACCCTTATCTCAAAGCTCATCACCTTTGTCTCCACAACCCCACATAGCACATTGCCATTATTCTAAAAAGCAGAGGTTTTAAACAATACTATTTGTTGCATACATCAATTTAATCATATGCCCATTTCCTTTCACCAGCTAATTCCCACACAGTACATGTCAAAAAAGAAACTAAAAAAAAAATAAAAATTAAAAAGGTTTAAATTCTAACCAAAACAGATTCGAGTTTGATACCATCTCAATAATTGAGCTTAAGAAATAAAAAAACTAACCCGTATCGAGATTTCCTATAATGGCGTCTTCACCGAATCTAGCCTTCTTCCACAGCGAGCCCGCACGAATTTCTCCATTTTTTTCGAGCCCCAAAAAATCCCACGACCTCGTCGTGTGCAATTTCCTTCCTCGATTCAAGAATATGGATACAACGTTCGGGTGCTCTGAGAAAATTCATGTAAAAATATCGCACACGGTTAGTATTAAGCAGTAAAAAGAAAAGCGTTGGACTACAGAAAAATGCTTCATTTTTCTTACTGGATATTTGAAATGCTTCGCTTTCTTCGAGGGTCGCTGCAAATCCATTGATGTGTCGAGTGTAAGAGTAAAAGATTGCGTCTTTGGCCTTATCACAACTGGACAAGAAGAATGAAAGATCATATGTCAAGTCAAAATGTGCAAGGAATTGGATCTGTTCTTGTAATATTCTTCTTATCCTTATCTGGTTTTGGATAAATTTATATTTGAGTGTTAGTACTTGAACTTGTAATTCTATCATCCATGCTTGGCTAGGAGCAAATAGCAATAATGTTTTCATTTCTTATTTTCTTTTATTTTTAATAACAATATTGTAATGGATCCACTTTTTTCTGACAAGAAATGAGAGATTTTGAACTGTAAGAACTCCATTTTTCTTACATGATTTTTGTCTCAAACTTCACTTACCTTCCCAAGAATGATCCAAGAAAGTCATAATGGGACTGTGTGACTCTATCATAATCAGAGGATGTGACTTGTGTTCCATGTGAATGAGCTCCCAAATACACCACATATGACTACACAAACAAAGAGAATGATATTAATGCCAAGAAACCAAAAACACACACAGAAAAAAGAAAACTTAAAGATATAAAGTCATCAAATTGTGCTCTATTATTAACACCACTAGAGATAATTATTGAAGCCAATCAAACTATTAAATGCTTACCTTTTTGGTGGCAAATGTGGGTCTAAGCCATAGTGCTAAAATTAATGAGAGGAGGTAAAGAGAGGCATGAGTGCTAGCTTTCATTGCTCCAAATATTTTCTATCAAAAATGGTTTTTCACTTGGGATGAATTCTATGCCTCTAACTCTTATAACCTCTTTGTAGAGTAGAGACCAATATATATATATGGGCAGTGGAGAGCCTCAATGAGTGCAAATTATGATTTCCAGTTAAAAGTTGGTGGTGCCCTGACGTTGACCCTTCATTGGGGGGAAAAGGTTAAGAATCTCAAAGTTGTTTGACTTTAAATTTGGTCCAGGGATCCTCAAGAGATGGAGCGAGATTTGGTTGTGTGATTGTTGATTTAATATGTGTATATTACGAGGTATAGATAACAAATGAACGATTAAAAAACTATCAAAAAAATAAAAATAAAAATAAAAAATGTCCAACAATTTGCAAACGGAATAGAAATATTGTTTTAAGATGCAACGTCTATGATACATTGATACTTATTAAAATTTAGAGTTATGGAGAATTCAAATGGGGTGAAAACTGAGCACGTGAGAATATTGTGTGCTAATTATTGTATTAGTGGGGATCAATTGGCAATGTCGAGGAGAAATGACTCCTGCGCCACCACATTTGTTCAATTGGGCCAGCAACAAAACTAAAGACCAATGGCTAGGGTACAACCCAACCAAGCTAAATTTAATATCTTTTATAAATATAAATTTCTAAAATTGATTTTGACCGGTTCAATTGATCAAATTCTTGATCAGTTTGCTGATAGTGGATTCTTTCTAATAAACCAAACCGGTCAGTTGACCGGCTGATATGATCTCATTTTTAAAAACTATGATCAATAATCCTTGTCCATAGAAAGAAAGAAAGAAGAAGAAAAAAAAAAAAGTGATGTTTGAGGTGTTTGACAAAGAGCAAGTGTGGGCGTGGTGTTTATGTACGCAATTGATAAAGGGGCTATATGATGATAATGTTATGGGGCCGACAACCCATTATATTTTGGACTGGACTTCAAATGTGGGCTCAAACTGCAATTGAAAACAAGAGGCCGCAATAACAGAGTTCAAGTCAACTGCTACGGATTAGGGTTCCCACTTCCCATTGAGGCAATAAAATAATAAATAAATCAATATTCTTTGTTATATACTCCCTCCATTTTGAAATATAAGGCGTATAAAGATTTCTCAATTTTTTTGAAATATAAGGCGCGCTCAAAAATCAAGACAAATTTTTGCATTTTTTTCCAAATATACCCTCATTGTCTTGAAATTAAGGAAGTGTGGAATGATTGTGATTAGAGTAAATAAGGTTAATTTAGTCAATTTATTCATTAATTAATGTTTCCTTAATATTTGTGTAATAACCTTAAATGCCTTATATTTCAA